AGGAAGCATATAATCTCTATGAAACCTCTCTAGAAAGCCAATCATTATAATAATATTAACCTTTCCATTTTAAAATTCTTGTTTCCATATCTGTCAGTGGGCTTCAACTGGGCAAGCAGTCCTCTAATGAAACTAGATTGCGTTTCCACAAGGAAATGTAGATACTTGCAAAGCAGCAGAGGGTTTTTTAAGCTTTGCCTAAACTTTGCCATTGTCATCTTTCCAGTTTAATTCTTCCAGAAAGAATATACTCATCATTCAGTATGTAAAGCAAATGAGGAAAATGACAGAATATGCTAATATTATGATGATGCTATCACTGTCAATTAAACTTTAAATGGCAAATATTATGTTTTTAAATTTAACAATGTTTTAAAAATATCACTAAAAAAAGAAGTACTGCACGGTTTCATACATTTTTACATTTTTCTTTGACTGCTTCAGTCATTATGCTGTCTAAGTTGGTGTATTGGCAAAATATGCGCACATTTACTGTAACTCTGAGCTATGCTGTTCATTGTTATGTAATTATCTCAAGTTGAGAGTAGGTGTGGTCCTGAGATTTGATGACAACTTACAACAAAACAGTAAGCAGCTGTAATTGCAGCTATTGAAATGTAGTTTCTACAACACAAGAGCAAAATAGAGGAAGGCTAAGAGTTAAACGAGGAAATTTGGGAAGCGAAGTTAAAGATAAATATAACAAATATATCTTGTGTGTGTATATAAAAGTATAAAACTGTATAAACTGTCTGCTAAATGTAATTTTATACAAGAAAACCATTATATCCGGATAGCATTGATAGCATGTTGCAATCGCTCATTTCTCTGTGAAGAGAGAAAAATGGGAGATTCCCTGGAACGGTGTCCACCTCACTGCCAGAACTGACTCCTAGTTGGCTGTAACTCCTGTCAGGAATAGATCCTCTTGCATAAGCTGAAAATTTCACAAACTGTATAACTTTTTGTGGCACCATGGCCTGTAAACAAATCACAATTTATGCAATAAGTGAAATTGGGGAACATCATTCAAATGGTAGAAATCTTGTTCTGTTCCAGCGATCAAACCTGTTGACCCTCTTTGACCCATCTCTCAGTCTTGAATAATGTTGGTTGTATGATTGTCAATCGTACAACCAACATTTATTTATCTACAACATTATTATATATATTTATATATTTAACATAACATTCATTTAACATTAACTTGTATATAAATCATAAATTGTTAAATTGTATAATTTCATTGTATATATTTATATGTAATCATTTTATTTAAATCTATTTTTGGTTTTTCCTCGTTCCAGTTGGTTGTGCTTGTATACTTGTACACAGAGGTTTTGCCAAGATGGCCGACAAGAGACTTGCCTTAAAGGGACATTATTTGAAGGCTCCACATACAAAATACAAACTTCTGTCATGAAACTCTGGTGCAGGCTAATAGGTCTATAACTCAACATGCTTGCAATGACATCATTCTCTATAGGGCACAGCTGATTGGTTGCTGCTGTAGCAGTAGCCAATGAGCTCGCTGCTCAACCTTCAAATACTTGGTAGCATTTGCCTTAGCAGTGCAGCCCACTTTTAGAAACCCTCCACCTTCCCCAGCTCCACCTGTATAGATCTGCTACGGGTAATTCATGTATGCTAATGTACAGCAGCAGCATGTCTTACTTGCTTACAGCAGTGTGTTGTGTTGGCATCAGCAAGTCCTGTACTTGCTCTGCAGCAGCAGCAGCGTAGCAGATCTATCCCGCCAAGACCAAATATATCCACATTGCCATATCCATTACCATGCCAAACACTCAGAGTTGTCATGACAGAACAACAATTTGTAACATTTTTTGATTGATACCATAGTGAAATTAAATGACTTGAGTCACCTCCATGAACACTACAGCTCCAACATGTGTAGAAAGCCTGTGCGCTATTAACATTGGGCCATTGCTCAATGTTTTGTTGGTTGTGTTTAGGGTTTTGTCCCCAAATGTGAGCTAGCATGTGAACAATATAATGTAAAAGAAATAAGAGGGGATAATAGGATGTCAATCTTTGACTAGTACTGAGTGATTCATAGCATTAATATGAATTTGACACCAGTTCCCCTTTAGCTCGGAAGTTACGGTTTTGCATATCATATTCTTTTATGAAGTACCTCTGGGTGAATGAACTCATGTTCTGTTTAATAAAGTGTCCCAGGGTATCTGAGTGCTAAGTAAGTGCATGCTAGCTTATGTCAGTCAGTCTTTGACTCTTGTCTTATCAGCAATTCAGTTTTTTTTTTAAAAGACTATTGTGCTGCTTGTCCTACATATTGGGACCTTTTTGTTTATGCTTGTGTCTGAAACTGAAGGCAGCTGGCTAGTCAGTCAATGACCTAATATTCAGTGTTTGTGTATGACCGTACTGCCGGAAGAAACTGGTTTAGACAGGCTTCCAAATCACCATAACATTGTAGCTACTGATCTAGAACAATTTCAGGTGAGCTTTAGATGCAACAAAGCAAATATTTAATATCTACACAGCTTATTTTTGATAGAAATTGAATAATACTTTGGAGTTTAAAAATAAATGAATTCCTGTATTCGCTCGATCATACACCATTTTATTCCGTTTGAATCCAACAATCCTGTGCATAAGTTGGTGGTTGTTTAGCAACTGACTAGGAGGCATCTGATGTGGCACAATATGATGCAAACATTGAATTTGGATGCCTTGATGCCTTTTTCAGACACAAACTATGTATGGAAGACAATACCACATCTGAGCTTTAATGGATTCATCAGCCTTTTCTGTTCTGCTGTGCCTTTAGGTTAAAAATAGCGAGACATAAGTGATACTCTGTATATACTAACTCATGATCAAATATCAGTCGCCTCCATGAAATCACAACCAAGATCTGATTTCTTGAATGCATGAAGACGTAATCCAAACTTGCGTGTCGCTCCATCACCATATAACAACATGAGGACGTTGACCTATTAGCTTCTTATTGCAAGATTTGGTCTCCATTAGTCTTTGTCAAACGTTACATAACCCCAATCATCTGAGACACAGAGAAGACACATTCGCTTATGTAACCATTATGATTTACTCTGGAGCCAAGAGTCTCCTTATACTTGTTTAGACACTTAAGCGGGTAGGTGCTAATTCAGCAACTGTTGTTTTGACAGTGTGTTTCAAGACCTTCGTTTCCATAATGTTGGGATGTTTTCACAAAATTAGATCGAAATGTTGTTAAATTGGGGATGGTTTTATGAAAAGGTCATTCCCAAAGGTCTCCCAAACCCCCTGTGAATGCATCTGTTCGCAGTTGTAAACTAACCATCATCATCGGTTTGTTTGTTCCTCCCAGTAGACTCAATAAATGCTGTGTTTCCTCTCGTACAGTGAGGAACAATGTACGGGAGTGTTGCTTCACAATAGAAACCCACTTTATGATAACCCAAACTGCTCGTAAATGCGTGCGACCATTCGCTGACCCCGGAAATGTTGTGTGTCTACATTATTAGCGTTTATTAAAGTAAATTCGCAACAGCAGGCAGCCTCCCCGGGCAAAACAACTGAACATTCAAGAGAATTCCGTTCTCCCTAAAAGGCAGACATGAGGCAATTTCTCCATAAAACCTGAACCTCTTAAAAGTGGCCTTGCCAAGCACAAGGCCATTTTGAGTATCTAAGAGCCAAATGACTTAATGCACGTAAAATCAATCCATGCTGTGAACTCATTGGCTGAGATTAGCTTTAAACAAGAACCGATCGCATTCTTGGGACCCATCGTCAGTGTTCACACACAAGCTCTCTGATTGACCGTCAGACAAACAAAGCGATCGTGTGTTATTTCGAATCCAGACTCCAAAGCGGACGTGCTAAGTGACTCCTGACAGCCCATTTGTTTTGGGCCTCCCACTAAAGAGATTATCAGAGGCAAATACCATCAGTGAAGGGGGTTTGCGGAGATAAATGAAGGTATTTGTTTAATACAGACTTACTTTATGCAGCTGCCAAGTTCTAAATGAAATGGAGAGGGGGTTTAGAGCAGTGGAGCTGGATAAGAGACAGATTCAGTGTATGAAAATCATCCAAATGCTAAAAATGGAAGATGATTTAGGCATGTCGCCCACATTGGGGGATTTGTTTAAAATCCTTTTGAGTGATTCATTGTCAACGGAGAAAAACACATAAGTAGTTTAACTAATTAACCTGCGTGTGGGTGAATTCATGTCTGTATGCTTATTGAGTGCCTGTCTACCTGGAATTTAACGAAAAAATGTCATGATATCTATCTTCTCATCACATCGGCGTGTGTTGCCGAAATGCCTTTGGAAAACTTTTTGGATTTATGCTTTGTAGTGTAGAACAACAGTTCGCATCAGAAGAAAGAGAAGAAACTCTTGTCAGTTGCAAATCTTACACAGACCTTTATTGTTCTTAATAGTTGATTTTTACACCACATACTGTACATACAGGCCACCACAGTCCCTCTCAATACTGTACATCCATTCTTCTCGGTTACAAACTTTTACAGACATTTACGTTTTCAAATGGTCATAACATTCTTTAACCTTCTTTAACAGTTCCATTCTCTTAAACATACTTTTCATCTTTCCTTCTCAAAACAACATCTTGGCTTTTTACCAGTGTATCAAACCATCTGCTTCATGAAGACACTACAAAATAAAAATAACAGCAAACCAAAGTCCATGGATGGTTGCTAATATCGAGTAGCGCCAATCATCAAGTCCATCTAGTCGTATCCAACTCTATTCCATAGTTTCCTTCTAAAAATCACATCAACATTTCTCAAGCCCTCATTCAACATTCAAGTTCTCTTCTACGCGACTGTCAGTTCTACGTCAACTTTCTGCTTCGACAAGCATGTACATGCACTGGGCCCTCATGATAATACAGGTAGGACTCAACAAGTAAAGCTCCATGCAAGATGCTACATTGTAATATTCATCCATCATTTTGGGGGGTGGAAAAAAATATGGCTCAGGTTTGATAAATGTCAAATTTTCCAATTGGAAACTAAAATCATATTACTAGCGAACATAGCATTTTTTTCTTGATAAATTTATACCATCTGATTTAAATATAAAATTGAGCTGATAAAATATCCGTTTAATGGGAATGTACTTGTAAGACTTGCCTTCCAGTAGAGCTATGAATCAGACTTTTACAAAGTATTCATTACTTTAATCTCTTTTCTCAGTGGGTATTCTTCCCTTCTAAAAGCTAAACACAGTGCTTTTAATAAAAACAAAAAAGAGCTACAGTAAATATCTTATTGAGAAGTTTAAAAAAGTATAACTTTAATTACAAAAAAAAAATCAATATCAATAAAATAAACAACAAAAAATGACCACACTAACAGTAAACAAGACTAGATGCGTGATCTTGTGCTTTCACACAAATCAACATGGTTGTTTAAAGTGTGCGGGATGTCTTCAATCTTCAATCCCTTGAGATTCACACAGTCGCCTCACAAATACTGTCTTTCTGGTACTGGTGTGGCCCACGTGGACCTATGAGGGTTTTTGGGGGAGGGATTTGGTAATAATAGCTGCCATTGTGGACAGTAACACAAAAACACTGCTGTAGAAACAGTCTTTACACACACATAAATACAAGTCCTCCGCATGGTGCCACTCCATCTAAGTCTTTACACCATGGTCTCCTTCCTCTTTCCCAGCGAGCAGAGTGAACGCTTGTCCTTTTTTGATTTGCGAGGCAGGAAGGGGCCGGAAATCGAAGATGATGAAGAGGACGAGGAGAGGGTGGAGGTTGCAGAAGGAGTGGGGCTGGGGGGCTCCTCGGAGCTGGGGGAGGAAGGGGCGGAGACTGCGGCCCGCGGACAGTTCTCATCCATCTCTTCCATATGGATGATGGCGGAGACTGTAGACGAGCGCCGTTTGGCACAAATGTCGGTACTGGCTGGGGTGGACATGGATTCATTCTCAGGGAGCGGTGAATCTTTCTGGGTTGACATGGCGCTGCGGAGGCAGTTGAGCCACTGTTGCTTGTGGAAGATGTCATTGACCTGCAGTGTGTGGGACTGACCCTGAGATGAGTCCTGGAAGCGCACCCGGAAGATGTTCTTGGCTACAGGGGAGGAAAAAAGACTCAAATGAGCAAAAGTAATGGAATTATAAAGGAAATGGTGTGATCAGCCTGACACTGAGAGGCATTAACCTTACCTTTATCTGCATTACTAAAGGCCCCTCGGAATGAGCCGCCCATGCGAACGTCTCCGTCCTGCAGGTCTTCCAATACGAGGTCCTGCACCGGGATTGGCTGGCGGTACACTTGGAAACAATGCCGGTCATTCCGTGTCACAGGCCGGGTCAAGACCAGAACCTCCGTGAACAGAAAAACGTGCAACTTCTAAGGAGAAAAATGGAGGAAAAAAGAAGGCAAAGGAAAAAGAGAGGTCTGGTTATTGACATGTTGTTTGAACATTGGACTGATTTGCAAGTTTTAACAGTTTTCTCCCCTGGCACTCTCAAAGATTCCCCTGTCATTGTGTCATGTCTTTGAGAGGTAAAGGGAGCCAATTCCTTCCCTCTGATGGCCTTATTTGGAATATGGTGGCTTTAGTGTTTATATTTCCAGAAAATGAAAGTCAGAAATGATTTGCCCCCAGTGGTTCAGACTGTTATGGGTGTGTTTGTGTGGAAGACAAACTCACCGTGCCACTTTTGTTGCGAAGTTCACCATGGCAAAGCAGGCTTTTGCACTGCTCTATGTGTGGGTCTTTCTGTCTATCATCCAAATATTCCAGCTTGTCGATATAGTATTGACATTCTGACTCTCCTTTCTTCATGTTGATGTCAGCCAACACAGCCTGAATAATGCTTATCTGGAAAAGAGAAACAAAGGCAGCATTAACACCAAATGTCACTTAAACTCAATTTGAAAGCCTACAGTTGCAAGATGTGTGTTTGTACTTACCGCCTGCTCAAGGCTTGCTGTGTCTGGATGTTCTGGTGGTGTGTGTCTTAAAATCTCTTTCAGAAGAAGGGGGTATTTGACCAATCGTGAACGAGGGATGTCCAAGAAGCTCCACAAGTCTAGTTTCCTGCTGAAAGGTGACTCAAGGCAGCGCTGTAAGAAGTCCTGAACTCTTGGGTCTTGTTTCTTCTGGTCAAGCAAGGCTTTTGCGGCTAACTGGTTACTGCAATATGCCCTATACGCATTTAACCCGGGCAGCTGTGGAGGAAAGCGAGAGTTAGTCTTAAGACTCTTACAATGTTCAACAATTCATGTGCATTTCATAATAATATAAAGACAGTAAAAAGATACTTACCCAGTTCACAACAATCTTGCCGATCTGTCCCACTGTACCATTTCGGCCTGTAGCCTTCGCCAACTGAGCGAGAAGATCTGATTGGGTAAAGAATAAGTTAGCACTACTTGTCACAATTATTTATGCTAAAATAAGATGTCCGGGTAAGATCTCTACCTTCGTGAAGAGGAATATATGCATCCAAGTCTCCAAAGATGGCTGTCAGCTCCTCCTCAGACATGATAGAAAGTTTCAGCATGGGATCATGGTACGCCTGGACACACAAAATGAAAAAATAATGAGTAAATAATAGCTACAGCCTCTAATTTTAAAGAGAGAGACATTTTTGTCTATAAATGGAGGAAGGAAGCCAGCCAATATGTCTAACTCTGAAAGCACAGCCAAGAACTTATTTGGTCTATTTGCTTTAAATGTTCCAACTAAAAATTGAAATGTACAAACCTTTCGGGCTAACTTCAGGTCTTCAATCAGGTCCTGTTCTCCCCGAGACAGCTCAAAAATTGCCTGGAGAGACGGTAAACAACACATTCAAAACTAAGAAGATAGTTCAAGTATTTTTAGTCAAGCCCCTACATATCAATCAGATTCTCTCTTTGGTGGGAAATATTTGAGGGGCTCACAGTTTGCTGTAATGTCTGATTACTAAGTCTAGTTGTGAATGAGAGGTGGAGGTTTTGTGCGTCAGACCAGCCAGTCTATGTTAGCACTGTACGTCTGACTCTGAGACGGCAGAATACAGCCAGACTCTCTCCGCTCCATTCCATTGCGTGTTAAGAACACACGCCAAAAAAACACAGCCAGAATGAGAGCGGTAGAGCGATGGAGAATAAAAACAGAGGGAGAAAAAGAACAGGGCACTTTCCAAGCCCCAGGCCCTTTGGGTTTCATAAGTCTCACAGGCCTGATTCAGTAGCGTCTGGCAGGGAGACTAAGAGTGGATTTAATAGTCTAGGTTTTACAGTGCTGTCTGGATTCCGTAGTTCCATCTGTACTCACCTCTTGTCTCTTAATCTCTTTGGTGGAAAAGGTTCCTTTCTGGTGGACGTCCAGAGTCTCGGACCAGAGCGTGCTGTTGCGGCGTTTGGGTGGTGTGGGAGCTGCGGCTTTGCTGCAGGGCTTCTGCTGGGGCACGCCCGGAGACCGCCCATCACCTCGGAACGAGGCCTGGAGGGTCTGGCCGAAGCGTCGGACGGCCCCATTCTTCGCGGGAGAGATGAGGTTCGCCAGCGAGGTCACTCGGCCAAGAGGCCTCACACGCTTGGTACAGGGTTCCTATGAGACATGGATGAAAATAAACGTTAAAACTTAATCACCCTCTACGGACCACAACAGATTCCTTAGTGCTTCATTAAATGCACAACTGCCAATACAAGAAGGCTAAAGTTGAGACCACAAGTTGCCACCTCACTTAAACAGAGGCCATAGTTTAATTCACAGGATAAACTCCTCACTGGTGCGGTTATGAAGGGGTCATCTGCAGGTCAGGTTGATTGGTGTTTCCTGGGCGACAGACAGCTAGGCAGAAGCTCCAACCTCTTGAGTTAGCAGCTGTTATGCCCATCAAGTGTGATTGACCCTCTCAGCAAAAAAAATTCTCTCTCTCTCTCTCTCTCTCTCTCAATATATACACACATACACGCATACAAACACGAACAAAACCCTCTCTGACTGCAGCCCTGGACACCCAGGGTTCAAGAGGCATGACTGGAATGTAGGGTACTCCAGTCAGCTGTCCCACGCTGATGACCCACACACACATTCGACATCATGGCCTAACTATAGCAAACAGGTCTCCAAATCAGATCACTTAATAGATACATTTGCTCTTTCAAGGGGGAGTTTGACAACATTGGTTGTGTGTATTCATTTGGGTCAGAGGGACCACCATGGTAAGTTACAGATTTGACCCAGGCCTTGTAAACAGGCAGCACTCTACCCCCCTCTTCTCTTTCCTTTCTTCCATTAAGAGCTGTTTATGGTTTCGTGTTGAGGCAGGCCCTGTAGCCCTCGCGTGAGAGATACAGGCGCACCTGAACCCCCTGGAAGAGGAGGAGGTGAGCACTCTCAAACCCTACATCCATAATGGCTGGGCCTCCAGCCAACCTCAACAGACCTGAGAGGAGAGGGGAGGGGGATCAAAGCAAAACAGATCTGAGACGTTGATCCTACACTCACTCGAGAGATCTGACTGAAAAAAACTTCTACCGTTCCTGGAACAATGTGAGCTTTGTCGTCAAAAAGTGTTTGTGTCTTTCAAGCGGCGGGGACAAAAAGCACTATGTGCTTGGCACTTTTTAAAATGCACATTTCAATAGATTTTCCAGTGCTGGATGGTTTTCCAGCTGCTGAAAATATATAAAAAGGGATGTGGTGTTCTCATCTTGGCAAAGTGAAACCACACAATTCCACTGACCGGCGGAGACAGCTGCCAAGCAGATCTACAACTTCACTTTAGTGGGAACTGCAACTGTGGCCCAAGCCCAACTGAACTTGGCCGCCCAGTTCTGCCCGCCTGTCCTTCCTCCGCTGTAACATATCATGCAAGTAAACATGAAGACCACATCTGAACCTTCTCCAACGGTGGGCAAAAACACAAGACGTTGGGGAGACAGAATGCGGAGGAAGCAGTCTGACTAAACACTAAATTCAAAAGACCACAGCAGTACCTGTGTGAGCGATTAGTGGCTCAACGCGAATAATCAGAGCATTCCTGCTGCCCATTGTGCTCTTCCTGCTGTTTAGGGAATCCCTGCAATAACAAACACTTTTGTTCTCTCTTTTCTTGAAATTATAGATCATCGTGTGGAAAGAGCAAAATGTAGACAGACAGATAGTGTAGATATTTCTGGTTGTGTTGACTTTTTAGGGACCCCCCCTGGAGAGTTGGAATGGGAGAACATAGCAGGGGGAAGCCTCCCCCACAGGAACTAAAGTTTAGACCACTGCTATGTAACATTTTGTTTGCTTAGGTAAACTTTGGAGACATAATTGTCACTAAATGATGCTAAATGTGATAAAATCTCAAAGGTAAAACAAAATTAAGTAAAAAAAAATTTTAAATTAAAGGATTCCTTTTTATGAGTTATCATTATAATTAGCTGTACATAAAAACAATGGAAGTCTATGGTATTGTTTCTGTTCTTCAAAATCCCTCTGATGGACGGATTAGATTATTTAAATCTAAATCTATCTAAATCTTACTGGCAAGCCATACAAATAAAACTTATTGTTCGATTACCTGGAATAGGTAATGCATGTGATTTATAAAATCAATGGAGGGAACTAAATAAACTATTGTTGTGACTAAAGCAAAGTCCCTCAGCTTTGAGCCACAACTTCCTAAAAATCTCCTGATTCATTCATAATTTGCTACTTCTGCTAGCCTTCCCGACAACTAAACCCTTTCTGTGGCCACTTCCGAATCAGAGTTGAAACCACAAATAGGAATAGCAGCCTGCTGAAGAGAAGTAAGATTAAAGCCTCTTTCTGGGTCTTGAATACATTTCCAAATGCTCAGAGCAGGGCTCAAGCATACCTGGGCTACAGGATGTGACTGCTTTCAGACATCTAGAAAGCTCTTAAATCTTTGCATGCTGAAAAAGCCCTGAAGGGTCCCTTCAAACCATTAGTAAATATGTGAAACTTCTGCTTAGGTGTACAACCAAACACACAGGCTTTAAACATTCTGTATATGCATATTTAGCCACCATAATGGGCAAGACAATTTCTAAAAATGTTTATAACTGTTCCAACGTAATCCAGTAATTCAATGACTACTTAAGTTGACCTTTAGCCTCGTTGATTTGCAGAGCACTCACACACTCAGCTCCTGCCCCACCAAACACACACTCTTGAGAAACACACCTGTGATTTTTACTCCTTTAAAGGCCAGTGTGCATACAAGATAACAACAGGGCAAGGTTCTGACTAGGCTGATAAAGAAAGTGTAGAAACTCAAACATGCTTTTATCAAGCAAAACAAAGAGCAAAAAGAAACAACAGGACAGCATTTGTGATTAATCGTCTTTGGGTCTCACCTCTAGTTCTTTGTAAATCTGGTTCTGATAGTCTATCTTCTGTAAAGTCCGTTTGATAGGTACCACACAAGGTTCATCGTAAGCCACCATTTCTTTCAATAAAATCCACTGGTTGGTTTCTGTTATTTCCAAGGGTGGGCAATAATCCACAAGTGATTCTTAAATAAAAACGTGATGTAACATAAGAGGTCTAAAAACCTCAACGTCCCCCCCAACTCGTGATTGTCCGCCTAAGCGGAGCTTTCTAACTTCTAAACACACTCTTGGTGTGTGTGCTCTAACTTTGTTCTAGTGATGTGAGAGGTAGGGAGTGCTTATATACAGAGTTTTAAAAGGGTGGAGTCACTGTAAACTCACCAATGGCAAGAGGAAGGAGTTGGGGATATGTAAATGACTCTGAACAGACAAAGTCTGAGAAACCTGACTCTCTGCTACCTCACATCAACAAAGCTAACATTTGCCTTCTAGATACTATATTTCTACGTTTCAGTAGTGTCAAAATGTTACCATCCATAAAGCAGGAAAGCTTACAAAACCTTTTGTAGCAAAAAATAAATAAATCTGCCTTTAAAATATTATGACTTAAACTGTCAAAGTAATTTTGGACCTCAAAACAAACAAATAAACCAACTAAAACCTCACAAATTCCCCAGTTTGCAGTACATGTTTCAAGATGAAATGGAAATAAGTTTTTTTGCTATTAGAAACAGACTTGCTTTCACTATGCAAAGTGGATTGTTTATGTATGTCTGAGTTGCATGAAGGGTGTAAAGTGACAAGCATATTTGCTTTGAGATCTGCCTAATGAAGACCTGGGTCGTTATCACCCACTCATCAGCAGGGGAGGGGGATGATCAATTACAATATCAATCAGGGCTGAGGGGGTCACATGCACACAGAGCACTGGTGGCTGTCTGTGTATTGGAGGTGTGTGGGAAGGTCTGATGAGTCTCAAAAAGTTTCAGCGATCCGAACCAGAAACTGACCCAGACCACGCAGTAAACACATCCTGCTTAACAAAAGCTGCTTTTCTCAGTCTATTTTTCAAAGCCGCACACCTGTTGATCTCCACATTTGTGTGACCAAGGAATAAGGTTCACTACAGACCCAAAACTTTTACTGCTACCTTCCCACACGGTCAGCAGTGGTAATAACTTTAGCTACGCAAATGGACTAGCATGATGTGTCAGTGGGTTTTAATAGAGATTTGTGTTAAAATGTGTGAAAGCATTGGGGTGCGTTAAGCAAATGGAGATGAACGATGTGCAGACTCTAAGCTTACCCTCCTGTGTCAATACAAGAGTGTGAAACAGGACATGCATTAGTGTGTTCGGATCAGGACACTTTCCACTCAGTGGACGAGTCAAACGGAAGCAGTTATTTGCTAATGTAAACTGCATTCAGTTTACACTTTATTCTATTATTCAAAACATTACTCAATACCTGTGTTCATAACAAATCTGTGTGTATCTCCAAAAAGTGAGGAGATTAAACAAAGATAGATGATTTTAACAATTTAATATTTAATAAATGAATTAAATAAATTGTTTAATTATGACTAAGCAGTACTGCACCATAACAGTTGTGCACAAAAAATGAACATATGTATGGTTGAAAGTTGAATATCAGTATGAGTGAAGTCAATAACAGGGTTCCTTCATTACTCATCCCATGGGGAGACACTTTCATACTGTTCTCGGTGTGTTTTGATGAGAGGTGTGGCAGCCATATTGCATGAGAGTGCGGCTCAGCCTGCACCCCCTGCGGGCTAACACCTCGACACACATGACAGCTGGACATCTGGGTGTGAAGCACAAACACAGCACTCCTACTTTAGTGCTAAACACCATCACACAAGAGTGACTCACTTTATGTGGGCCGTGTGTGAGCTTGCCTGACGGGAAAAATGTGAGCTAACTTGCTACGCTCTGATCTGATAAACCTCAGTTGAATAGGCAGCAAGCGGAACGATGTGTAGTGGATCATAGTGCTGCCCCCTGGTGGATAATTCAATGGCACTGCAGCCTAGGTGACTGAAACGGCATTTAAAATTGTATTACTGTTCCAGGATGCATCATCTGTACTTGTACAGACTTTGATTAGCAGTGTAAAAAACACAGCTTGCAACTGGGAACAATAAAGCCACCTAACCTCTTTCGTCCAAGTTCTTTGAAAGCTTCTAATTTCTCATCAGTGGAGGAGGAAATTGTATCCGTAAAGGTACCAGTATTCATCCACTATAACAAAGGTGTGGTTACAAGACAAGCCTGTACTGGGTATAGACTGTAGATGCCGGTGACGTCTGAGTGTGTTGGTGTATATCAACACAGGAAACCCCAACTGTTTTACGCTGGAATCACTATCATTTGCTGCCATCACTTCATGCCCCATTCTTCATTCATCCTGTTTGTGTTCTTATTATAATAATAATACTAAAAATGAAGTATTATTTTATTTAAAACAAATGCATGGAAATGGAATAAAATGACAGGCATGTTATTTCACTTTACAGTAGGGAAATTGCGATACTTTTGTCCTAATTTCTTCAATTGAAAGCGATAAACCCTTGAGCTTTTACTTTGGAGAAAAGCGGCAGTTTCTGCGAAACAGGTTTACAAACAGTCAAACACGTCTCAATGAAGTGCTCAAATCATCTGTCCACAAAATGTCGGATTATGCGAATGTGATAATGCATAACTGGAGCACATTGTGTTCCCAAATACATGTTAAATAGAGGTTTACCGATTGATCGGCACCGATAACCGATTGCTGGAACAATCTTTTACCGGCACAAATCCATACCGATAGTTTTTCCGGGTTGCGTCCATTGCTGGAGCTGGAGAAGGGTCCGCTGTCATTGCCCAGTATGAGAGCGACCTCTAGAGGCGAAATAAAAACTATCACTGACACCTCGTGGAGTTTGTTTTGACACGCGAGGCTGAGGACTGCACAGTGTGACATTTTAGATCCAGATTTAAAACAGATAATAAAACGGTATGTTATACAGTTCGCTACAGTAGTGTTTTCATATTATTATAAAGTAATACTTTTGTTGACTGTTGCATTAGTGGAGAACAGCAGTGTGTTTGCCGTCGAGGCTGAGAGGATTTTATCATTAGTACCTCAAGCGGTTAAAACAATGTGACAAAAATACACACAAACCAGAACCAAATGTTTAATGTCACGATTACCATCTATTTTCATTACTTTATATCCAACTGGTCACTTATGCATTTGTTATGCAGTGAAGTTGCATATATAAAGCTAGTGACGCGAGAAAGCAAACTATATTGTCATGCAGCCGACAGAAACGTAAACAAATCAGAAATACATCCGATTTCCGTTTTTATTTTCATCGTCACTGCAATACATATTTTGTTGTTTTGATTAGATAATAAAGTGTTCTAAAATAGAAGCAAATTAAGTGTGTGTATGTATGTGTGTGTGTGTGTATATATATATATATATATATATACATACACACACACACACACACACACAATATACATGTGTTAAATTGCTTTGGCGTTTATGTAGATATTTAAAGATGGCCATCTTTAAGCATATGACTGTTTGGATTTATATGAAATGGTAACACTGTACAATAGGAGTCCATTTCTAACATTAACTTAGGTTAATAAAAGTATTGTTTAATTTGTTAATTTCAACATTTACTAATACATTTTTGCATTTTAAAGTTGTTTCACTTAACATTAGCTAATACACATTCACTAACATGAGTGATCAAGGTATAATTATTTTTTATATTTAAAATGTACAGTACATTTTCATGGTTCAGTACGGTTTTAAAAATTTTGTAATAAAGCTCAGCACTATTTTATGTGTTTGTTTTTATTCAGTATCCATTTAAAAAATAAAAAAAACCATTGAAGCGCAATTAGCCGCATTAGCATTAGCAGCAAAAGAGCTAATTTCTGTATATGCGCGCAATGTCTGAGATTATTTCTGAGCGCTGTCTTTTCTGACCGAGTTCTTTTTGCCACCTAATTGATCTTGAACGGTCAAAAGTGTCTTAATGCTCGTCTTAGCGAGTATCCTCGTAAACAGTCTTTAGTGAACGTAAACGGTTGAGAAAAAGCGGAATGTGTATCAGTATATTAGATCAGTGCATACGTTCTTAGAGTAAAAGCAGTAACAGCAAATAATCAAACATCAAAAGATAAAGAGAAACTGCTCCTGACTGAATCACTTTTGTAACTTTAATAAGAATACATTTATAATTTACACAGTGAAGACTATGCAGTGTTTGTTTATACATTTAATTACTTTATACAATTTATTTATGTAGCCTAGTATTTTTTTAGTGCTTGAATTTTTCAAGCAGGTCCATTTCATGTGTGTCTTTTGTTCCATTTTAGTTTTGTCCTATTACTTGTACTTAGTTTATTTATTTATTTTTTATTACTGACTATACTTGTCTTCAGTATGATATCATCATAACTTTATTTAAGCAAAAATAACTATGCTGTGATGTATATCATTATGGTGAAATAAAGTTACTCCTATAGCCTAGTGTTTCGTTTTAAGGTGAACTACCCCCTATCCCTAACAATTCTTCTCAGTTCCAGAAAACAGTCAGCTGGCAACATCCTCTTATTAATGAAGAAACTGAAAGGAATTGTTAGGGATAGGGGGTAGTTCACCTTAAAACGAAACACTAGGCTATAGGAGTAATTTTATTTCACCATAATGATATACATCACAGCATAGTGTTTCGTTTTAAGGTGAAAAACTATCCCCTATCCCTAACAATGCTTCTCGGTTCCAGAGAACAGTCAGTTGGCAACATCCTCTTATTAATGAAGAAACTGAAAGGAATTGTTAGGGATAGGGGGTAGTTCACCTTAAAACGAAACACTAGGCTATAGGAGTAATTTTATTTCACCATAATGATATACATCACAGCATAGTGTTTCGTTTTAAGGTGAAAAACTATCCCCTATCCCTAACAATGCTTCTCGGTTCCAGAGAACAGTCAGTTGGCAACATCCTCTTATTAATGAAGAAACTGAAAGGAAAAATTAGAAGACCAACAGACAGATAATATCTAAACTTGTGTTAAGTTATAATGTGACTTGCAGAAAAACCGTAATATTTTGCACAATAACCAATGTCAACATTTTGACCACTATAGTGGTTTCACTAAATGTGTGGAACCATAATTTGCTTTCAACTACTTTTTTTTTTTTTTTTTTTGGTTTCTTTGGCGTGCCACCAAAACTCCATCTGCAGATAAAAAGCACAAACATCCAGATGTTTCTCAAATATATTTAACTCTGATTGAGTCAATGCACCCTCAACAAAGATGGTTGCCACCAAACAGAGCAGGTAACTAATAACACACCCCTCTGACCAGACACACAACACAGTCAGGACGCATACCACACACACGTACAGACTCTTTCTTTCTCTTTCTCACAGACTTGAACAATATATCGCAATCTGGTCTAAAGTGTTTGGTCAGTCTTGTAGCTAAATTAGTCACTCCATACAGGAAAGAACTTCGACTACTACGTAAAGGCAACATTATGACACTTCTCGGCTTGATTGTGCAAATTCTGCAGTTACGTTATGCAGAATATGAAAAGTAAGGCAAATCTCATTTTGACAGTCTCAGGATGACAATGTAATTTCATCAGAACAAGGCCCTAAAGGGAAAGCATGGGGCAATAAAAAGGGTACCATCATCAGGACAGGTGATTTATACAAAGCACACCCCTCCCCAATATGCATTCTCAAAGATGTGCTGTGGGGAAGGGAGTTGGGAACTTTTGTTTACTGCACTGTCTAGCGAAACAAGTTTCACTCAATAGTCTGGGGCAGAATGGACAAGTGACAGAAACATTTAAAAAATGTGAACTGAAGAAATTGAGGCTTAATTCCACAATGTTTTAAAAAGTTTGTAATGTTTTCGGTCACACTTTAGGGTCCAATTCTCACTATTAACAAACTATTAACTGATTTTGCCTAATTACTGCTTATTAATAGTTAGAAAGGTATAGTTTAGGCATTGGTAGGATTAAGGGATGTAGAATAAGGTCATGCAGAGTTAAGGCATTAATATTGGCCTTATACTAATAAACAGCCAATATCCTAGTAATATGCATGGTAATAAGCAACTAGTTAATAGTGAGAATTGGACCCTAAACTAATGTTACCACGTTTTCGTCAGTGAAACACCTAAGAAGATATTTTAATGAACTGTTTTTGTCCATACAATGAAAGTTACAAAGTCCAAAATAATGCTATTGTATACCAATACATGTACTGATAAATTTCATCAATGTTGTCTTGTGTTCCTTTGTCTATATATATCCATTATTTGAAATCTATTCAAAACGATACAAAAAAATTGATTTGTTACGATATATTTTGTTTTTGTGTAATAACCTTGCCTAGTTTTTTCCATTGCTCAAGGCATAAAGGCTCTTGGTGAATCAGAGCTCTCTTATCTTGTAGGCGCAAGACTGATGTAAGTCATTTCAGTTATATTGTTTGCCTGTCTGTCAAAAACAGAAGATTTGGGTGTGCTCAGTACGACCTCTTACTAAACTGTAAAAAAAAACACACAAAAAAAACATTTTCGGTTGCTATGGATGCATATTAAGTCAACTGTTCCATTTCAGATGGAAAAAAATATGAAAATAAACCAGAGAGGAGTCAAGATCAGCAGGGAGTCAAATTGCAACAAAAAAAAATCTGTTTACACAGCAGCACGTCTCAATTAAGCCCTTGCTGAAATGAGGATAATTACTGACAGTAATCATGGAGGAATGACCTTTTGATTTATCAGAGGAAAGATTTTCAAAGATTAAATTCCACAAGTTTAAGGTTAAAAGGCTTTGAATACTGCCACAACAAATGATTTAATCTAGGATTCTTGTGTAAAATGGCTTTGATTTTGCTGACAAATACAACAGAGGGGGGCAATTTTTTATTTTGGTCTTTCTTGATGTTATGAGACTTTAATGTTGTTTTGAGCCACGCAGACTGACTTCAGGAAATGGTTTAAAAAGCAAGACCTCTTGATTTGTGTATTTTGATAAATGTGCCATATCTGGCCTTGTGAAACCTATTTTATTTAGCTGGTTTTCTTACCTTGAAGTCAAAGCTGCAGAGACTGACTGCGTCGGCATCGTCCTTCTCTCTGCGCTTGCGTTTCTGCAAAAAGAAAACAGTCTATAAGAATCTGTAGCACAATACACATCTAAACTAAAAGGGACACTTACAAAAATGTAAACGTTCTGGCTTTGAGAGGGGAACCAAGGAAACATTCTTTTGTCAACTTTTCCAAACTTTTCTTTTGGTTTCCTTGAGAGTATGCAAAGTGCTGTCCTGAAAAGTTGGTTTTATTATGGGTTACAATGGCTCCTAAGGAGGTCCAGTCAGATTCAGGAAGGACATCATTATCCCTAAGGCCTTTTAGCACCTGTGTGTGGGAGTCGGGGGCTGGTGGGGCATCTGTCTAGTGAACATTCTACCTGTGGAGAGTGTGTGCAGGGTGTGAAGGGGTTGTAAACATTTCTGCAGCACTACAATGGCCACCGAGAGCCCTCAGGGTCTCTGTTATTGGCCTGTGTTCTCTTTACTGGACTTTTCCCAAAAGAAACCACTTCACGAAACTGTTCAAGGCAGGTCGTTTAAGTGGCTGAATTATAGCATAATGAACCTCCCAAGAAGACATCAGTCCTTCCATTTAACTAGGCCCACATGGAATATGGAAAATTGTATTTTCTGTCATAACGACACATGGTTTTATTATTATTATTATTATTATTATAAATTGAATTATTATTATTTGATAAAACAATTTTATTTTTTATCATAATACTTTATCATCATTATTTATGTAATAGGCAAAATATCATTATTAATGTCACAAGTTGAGGGCGGGAAATTGAATGCATGTAAATCTTGACTGATAAACCCATTGAGAGTGAGTTCTGAATCCATCACAAGTATGCTACGCATTTAAAAACAGGTGGTAGTTTTAACTCAAATGTGCCCATAATCTGCTTTATACCATTTATAAGCAACATTTCACAAACAGGGCCAGTTTGTAAGTCAATTAGGGTTTTGTTTGAGACCAGTATCAATTGAAAAGCCACTATTCTTGATGTTGCTGCCACTAACAGAAGTCTTGATGAGCCTATTGTTTTCTTATAGTGTGAAAGCATATTTAAATTCGCGTGATCAAAACCAAACACTGCAGCCAGCTCACCTCGAGTTTCATTGAAGCAATGAGTAGATTAGGCTGATTTAACATCAGACCCATTCACAGCAAACAAGTTAGCAAACACTAAAACAATAAATGACAAGCTATCATTTAGCAAATCCCCATTCATAGACGATAGGGGATAATTAATCAAGACCCTGATTGGAGGGTTTTAGTTGTCAGTAATGATTGCTGGCCAATCAGATGCTGAGCTTCTGAGTGAATCACAGGTGTTTGGTTTTGAACGTTTTAATGGATAACACAGATAAGCGACTACTTTTGTGTTATTTTGAGCAAAAATTTCGTTTTTGTCAAAGACTACAGCTGGATCAGATTCAGAACGATGATCAAAACATTGATACCTCGTCCTTGGTCAACATTTCATTCTGTAACATTAGGCATTTTTTATTTATATGCTGTTTAATATTAATAATAGTTATTTTACATATGTTTTTTTTTTCCTGCTTTGTCGTCTGTTTTAATCAGGAGATTCCGTACTCTTTCAGAAGTTGCGTAATAGCGATAGTATTCATACAGTGGCATTTTTACTGCGTTTTGATCAAGTAAAACACACAGTGAAAGCGTGCACTCTAAATGTGCACATGCAGTAATCTAACCTAAACCTAAAAGGCTACATCATGGCGCAGTGCATGCATGGACTCACTCTCTAGGTATGTTTTTATTTGTTTTCTGTCAGGTCGCAGTTAAAACAACAATTATGATATTATCGTAGACATCTATATCACACACACCTAGGGGAAGTTGCACCGATAATGCTAGTGCTTTCAGATAAAAATGCATGTAAAATTAAATAATTTGGTCAACACTGGAACGTCAAAATTACTCAAAAGAATAAAACTAAAGCTTTACAAGAAGAAATAAAACTTGAGAGGAACAAGAAGAAAAGTTCAACGTGATAGACAGGCTGTGTATGTTTTGGCTCCAAACTGCCTGTTCTTGGTGGACAAACCATAAATGGATATTACAGCAAAGAATTTATGAGAGCAAACAGCTGCTGGCACAGAAAAAAATTAGATTATTACAAACAAGCTCAATCAAAGTCACGTTTCAGGGACGCTGCATATTGTAGGGGTCAGTAAGATCTGGGATGAAGAGGTTTTGCAGATGATGGGTCAGGATAATATGTGATTGCTAATTGTGATTTGACAGATTTGGACAAAACCAATTCGCATGAAGCCCATCTGTTAGAATAAGAACACATTACTAATCAGTGGGAAAAAGTCTTAATCAAAGAATGAAATAGTCAACATGAAACTGTATTCACATACCATTTAACTTCTGTAATGTGATATTTTCTAAGTAAAACTAGATATTCAATTAGGGGGAAAAAAGTAAGATGGTAATGCGGCTGACTGGATGTGAACAGTGGACTTGTTGGTCGAAAGGAGTTTAAAAATAAGATGGCTTGGTGAAAATGCCGCTGCGTCTGAAAGCTAAAAATGATGCCTTTGGAGGATGCATTCCACAGTCGGAAGGCGTTAAGGCGCATCCGAAATCTCATGTTAGCTTTAGTGCTGCCGCGATTAGTCGACTTAGTCGACGTAATCGACCATGCAAATTAGTCGACGGCAATTTTTTTAGTCGACGTGTCGTTTTACTATTGACCGCTATTTATTTTTGGTCTCCCGTCACAAACGGCTCACTGTAATTCACCTCCACACACCAGTCTGAGCGCCGTGCGCGCCCTGCTGGTTTATCTGCTATCATTTTCCTTCACGTTCCCGCCCGCCTTCACTGCTTTGATATGAAAAATTGCGGAGGCAGGTGACGGAGCTTTCACAGTGGGCTCGTTTGCTGCAGTCCGAGCGCGAGCGCGATTGTTCCCGGCGCCCCCCGCAGCGTTGGTCTGGTTTCACACTCAATTCTATCGAACCCTGTTGAGTTTGCGTGCATCTTATGCCATCGCAAACGTGCACGGCACATGATAGAAAACAGAACGCGGGTCAATATATTGTGTTTTTCAAACGGACTCTTTTGAGGAGACAGTGGATTTCCAAATGTGTTGCCCTGATTGCAGACTCAACTCTCGCGTATCCGAGGTAAATCATCAACACTATCATCCCTTACATGTGTTTTATTTAACTGAATGCATCATAATCAGCTAAAACGCATGGGCAGGTTACTTAACTTCCTGAACAAGCGCTCCCGAGTCCGTGTTGCTTTCACATTCACGCGAACCGCGGCACGGGCCAGCCATGCACGCAAGTGTAAACGCGAGCTACATAACTGCGTGCCTGCCTGCTTTCAGCGCGACTCATAGTGTATAGCGCTTTTCACAGAAAATGCATTGCATCTACTTTACTATTCAGAGTATGCTTTTCAGAAATGTACATAAACTAATCATTATTAGCTTACTGTACATTTTTTTAGGGCAGAACAAAGAGCTAATTTAACTTAAGTAATACATACATGTTTGTTATTAGAGGATTAGATTAGGACTCTGACTAATATGGTATAGCCTAATGGAAATGCAGATACTTAATGCTTAGATTGTTAATACATAATGTTTTTGAACAGGTGACATTTTATGTTTTGGCCCTTCAGTTGAGTTCAAAATAAAATGGACACAACGAAATAAACACTTGATTTTTTTTAAATTAGTCGTTTAGATTAGTCGACTAATCGAAAAATTAGTCGAAAGATTAGTCGTTCGAAAATTAGTCGTTAGTGGCAGCACTAGTTAGCTTCACTTCCTGTCTCCTGAGATACCGTCATCTGATAGATCTTTAAAGGCAGCATAGACGTATCCTTTTGCTGGCTTTGATATCCCACAATTCTGTGCATTCAGTCTGTGACAGTTAAGCTAAAAAATAAAGATGGCATCTGAAAGTTGCGGTTGGTGGTCAGTTTGTGTGTAAATGTACATTTTTGACCAACGTTTTCCACTTTTTATGTCATTTTTAGCGAGAAATTAGTATTGTAGTAATTAATTATCCGCTAAGTTATCACCAAAGCTCTTTCTATTTTGTTGTAGATCATTAATCCTTCATGCTGCCTCAGAAGTCTGTCCGAAATCAGTTTCTGGAGGTAATTTCGCGCACAAATGCTGACTGCAGTCAAGGAATTCTTGTAATAAACTCACGCAATCAATTGAGCAAACCCTGTTCCCCATTAAGCATGTCACCTTCAGAAAGAATAAAAGATCAAACTAACTACTTTCTTTTTCTATAATACGAATGTAGTCCAGCTCTCTCAATCTGCTTCCTTTATCTTTTATAATCAGTGTATGACTCACATTGTAACGCGAATCCAGACACTACATAAGAAAAACACCAAACCAATAAACAATTTTCAAAGGAACAGCCTTGCATTCCTTGTGAGTAAACAATACGATATGTCTTAATACTTAATATTGGAATAACTTAATGACAATAGACAAAAAAAATGACAATGTCTGAGACGGATTCCTTTAAGTCATCAGCACATGTTGGCACAACGTGCTGTCAAAATGAAATCCGGCAGTATCACAGCTCTGCAGGCCGCTTCTTGCATAATCCATCTGTTGTTGCACCACCACGGACACCCTGTGGCCATGTAGACGGCCTTAACTAGAAGAACTATTTCCACATTAATGACAAAGACTCTCTGCTTTCATGTTCCAGGAGTTTGAGCAGGAATAAGAGGGAGGAATACTCTTACCTCTGCAGGGTTTTGAAGGTGAGATAATGGTGCTTGAGCTGGAAGCCTAATGAGGCCCATGTGCCCCCTAGATGAGCTAATGTGTGTGTATTCATAAAAAAATACATATCAAAGGAACGTTTTGGCATGTGATAAAGCAGTCCGTCGTCTTTCCCGCTACAGATGAGACGAGAGATGGATTGCATTTCGCTTGGCCTTCATAAACTTTGGAATGCTCTACTCGGTGTTCAATAACAAACTAATTTGCATTTACTGCTTAACTGATTCAGTGGGAATGAGGGCTATGTTGGGTTCAGTTCAGTTTGATGGAAATTTATCAGTGGCAATTTGTGCATCCGCTGAACCAGAGGCACGTGATGTCATGTGAGGATTAAGATGTCATCAGTTGGTGACAACGTGATGGTTGAGTGGAAAACAATATCTGCCAAAATGTTCATAAAGGGCAAGGGGAAAGTACACTTGCGCAAAAGAAAAGGATGGAAAGTTGAACAAAAATGACCTTTTGGGTGCAGTATTACAAGAGTTTTTGAGGCATGAAAACGGATGAACCGTAGTAAAGCACTATTAATGGGGCTATAGCATTCACGTCACTTAAAATACAAAAGTCATCTGTTGTGTATATTCTAGGGCTGCAACAACTAATCGATAAAATCGATAATAATCGATTATGAAAATCGTTGTCAACGAATGTCATTATCGATTAGTTGGTCTGATTACGTCACGGGGAGCGTTTACTGGTGATTGGTTGAAACAGGCCAATCAGGATGCTCTCTGTCTTACACACGCTTCATGAGGCACACACGCAAGGTCTCTCTCCCTCCGTTGCTCTGCCGCGCGCTCGCGCTACACGGTTTGGAGCACAGTCTCTTCTGTCTCGCATGCGCGCTCTTGCTTGCGTGCTCAAATCCCGGGAGTTTGAACTAATTTGCGAGCCGCTATCAATATGCGGGTGACTTCCAGAACTTCCGGGAGACTTGGGATGTCTGTATTTTGCGTCTCGAGCATCAGGTTGCGCAATCAGTTCGCTCGCAACATAAGTGATGGATTAAAATAGTGCTACCGCAGAAATATTAAATTAAAACGGTCTTTACAAAGCGAAGCACTAAATATAAAGGCAGTTAATAACAGCAGCAGTAAATTATTGTTTTTTAGTCACTGTACTCAGTGGTTTTCAGCGAATGTTTGTGCACTAATGCATCATTTTTCCTGTCTTTTTAATCAAGCCTGTTAGCTTGCTGCGTACCTTCACTCCGCTCTCTTTATATAGCATTTGTCTACTATTAAGTTTTAATTGTTTTTCAAACGCGATCTACTGCGGCTCTATGTTCACACGCTTGTTTTCAGTCTTTCTATATTTATTTTTTACAAATTATCCTTATAATTCAATTAATTTTAAATAAAAATTAAATGAATTATATATTTGAGATGTTTTTAGTTTATATCTTCACATCTGAACATGTCTGTAAATTTGTTTTAACAAAAATTGTGTTAAAACAATATGTTGGATATAAATGTTTTTTTTTTTTTACATTAATCATGGTTGTCAACTTGCCATCAGCAATTATCATTAAAAACAATGCAAATATTAGAAATACCAGATAAAAGCTGATTTTTTCACTATTTTTTTAATCATTAAATCCTGCCTAATATTGTATAAGAATTAGTGTTATCCTTGTGTTATAACATTTAACATGCTAATGTAAAACTTTATTGGAATCAACTAAGAGTCAAGTCTGTCTTGTGGTTCGTGGGAGAGGCAGTTTTAAATCACTCATTCAGTTAAATTCACAAATATGAATGTCATAATTTAAACTACTCACCAGCGTGAAGTCCCACTGGGGTCCAGGAGTCAGGAAGGTGAAAGAACTTCCTCGTCTCAAAGATGGCCTACAGCAAGAAAAACAAAGAAAAATAAGATTCTCAAAAAAATTAGGCTACACTTCAAAAGCCATTTGAAATAAAAAATGAATCCCCTCTTTAGTCTTCATAGAGAAAAACAGACAAATACAAAGCATCCAACCAGACCCAGACCCAGACCTCTGGTTGTGCAGTAATGACATAGAACGTGCAGCCAAACCTTGTAGATCTATTAGTATGCTTGTAACCCAACAATGTCAGTGTGCTCATAAGAAAAGCCCATAAATGTAAAGACACATCCTGTACGTACCACACACCAAGCCTGGTGTAGCTCTGTCTCCCGTGACACTGCATCATCGTCTGCAGAACTGATATAGAGAGAGCGTCACTAAGCCCCGATCTCTCTAACTCACACTAAAACACTCAGTTTCTGTTGTCTTTCACCCATGTGCCCTCTCCTTCATGTCCTCTTTTACTCACAAATGCACTGCCCCTCATTGTTAACTGGGCCCTTATTTGGGGATTGGTAACAACTGTCTCAGCGAGGTCATGTTTGCAAAGATACCCAGGGTTCCTTTTTCAGAAGAGCCGCTGCTTAGCTATGATAATGGGACAGCCCCGTCTAATCTTTTCTAAAAAGCCTGTGATAAATTTTCACATTTATTATCAGCTAATCTACAGGATTGATTAAATCAATTTAGGCCCTCAGAAATGAAGGCAAATGTGGTTTTAACATTGGGTTGTTAATTTTAGCAATGTTGAAACAGACTGAAGAATTATCCTGAATCATGTGCCAGTATGTTATTCTAAAGAAAAGATCTTTCATAATCCAATGATTCAAAATGTAGTAACTTCCTGTGTCTCTCAAATGGCTACTTGCCAAATAAATGCACTACTATTCAACATTTTAGGGGATGGCAAGAATTTTTTTTTTTTTTTAAATGTTTTTGAACATTTTCTTATGCTCACCAAGGTTTCATTTATTTGATCAAAAATACAGTAAAACAGTAATATTATTTCAATTTAAAATAATAGAATCATTACAATTAATCATTACTCCAGACTTCAGTGTCACGATCATTCAGAAATCATTCTAATATGCAGATTTGGTGCTCAAGAAACCAATATTTTATATTACCAATATTGAAAACAGCTGTACTGCTCCTTGTTGATGTTGTGAAAACTGATATATTACATATTTACTCTCACTTTTGATCAATTTAATGTATCCTTGAGTAAAATTATATAAAAAAATTCTGACCTTTTGAACGGTACAGTAGTGCAAGTAAATACATTGGAATATTGAAATTTTCATCTCAAATATGTAAGAAGAGCTAGACCAGAGTGATACAAGATACAAAACAAGCACAAAGGAAATTGGTTCTCTAGGACAACTGTCAATTATGCACTTTAACTGTCATCAGAGCATTGCAATTGACCAATCAGAATTGTATTGAACTGAATACATTTTGTTTTGATCAAAGATTTAATAATAATATATATTTTTTTTAATTAATTTAATATTTAAGTTAATGTGCAGTGAAGTTGCCTTGGAGGCTGACAGACCTTAACTCATCCTCATGCATGAATTTTTAGATAACAGATATGGGGGTGTATATTAAAATGTTTATTAAGTGTGGGCAAACTTCATTTTGTTCCCCACTATTTTTAGTGATGATTCATTGTGATATGAAGACAATTGTTCTCTGGTTGTGGTCCTGGCAGAGGTGTAGGTATGCGTTTCAGCAAATTCCTCTTATTCGGTCTGATGTGGTTTCTTCAGGCATCCCCCCCATCTTTCTATCTCTACATCAGTAGTCTATTATTTCAGTCACTTGGGAATGAGTGCAGGTGGCATATGAGAGCATAGGTAATTAGAGTAAAATAAATCTAAAGAATGTAATTGTGAAGTTAAAGAAGCTGGTTCTCACGGAAATACTCATTCAAATAGTTTTGCTTCTGTTCCTTAAACCTATCTTTGTAAAGTGACCTTGGGTGTTGGAAAGTCGCTATATACATTATTATTATTATTAAATGTGACTCATTTAACTTAATTGAATATTGTGTGATGGTGTATTGTGCAGGAGGATGTTTCAAAACAACAGTGCAATGTAAGTAAAGCAGTGAGAATATTAAGCTGGGCGATTCTGGGTGAGATATTATCTGACCAGTCAGAGTGCATGTTTAACAGAGTACAGAATCTATATCAGTGTCCACTAGAAAAAGACTCTACTGTGGGTGGTCTTGGCTGCTAAAAACAACAGGAGCCTAAATGTGTAGGTCAAATGACGCTGCCAATCCCATGATGGAGTGTCCTCCACTCCACGCAGACTTGGTGAGGAATAGACCATAGCGAGTAGAGACGGCATATTTTAATTTAAACTGATACAAAAAAACACTATGTACTTGTAGAAAAGTACATACTTGGGTGTGCAGTAAAGTAACAAGCCAATATTGGGACATGCTGTGAAGTCATGAAATCTATACCACAATTCACAATTTCCAGATCCATATATTTAAAAAATATTATTACAGGGCTCAATGCTAAGAACTGGTCAGTAGATAAACAGTACTTTTCAGATTTTCAGGTACAGAAATTGAATAATCAAATGAAAAATAACACTGCATAGTCTTCATTGTAAAATTTAAATACAGATTAATCCTTATTAGTTACAAAAGTTATTCAGTCAAGAGCAGTGTTTGTTGTTTGAATAACATTAAAAACACTGACAGCAGCAGGTTTATTAGGCTGCTATCACTTTAAGACTTCAACGGATTCCATATTTACTGTTCGACGTGTTTTATTTCTCAACTGTTTACCTTCACTTAAGACATAATTCACTTAAGACTTCACTTAAGACTGATTATGAGGATACTTGCCAAAATGGATATTTTGACAATTATGCGACTGTCCGTTCAAGTGCAAGAAGACGTGAAAGAGAACTCAATTCAGCATGTGCACGCTCTGAGAGGCGGCTTTCTGGATGTGTGTTGCGCACAGAGAGTAGCGAATTGAGTTTTCTTTTGCGCCGCCTTGCACTTGAATATTTAAATTGGCAAGGCTTAAAAACATGCAAATGATAAACTTTTGTGACGATGCAGCACTAGCCTGATCGGGCAATCGGGCCCGTTCAGTCAACTGTCCTGAGCGCTGCTTACGCTGGCCTGGGCCATCGGGCAGTGCTTATAAATTATTGTCCTAAATATTGATTGATCACAGTATTTTTTGGTTTACATACAAATGTTGAGAAGACTGAATTCCTCAAATGGTATTTTTTTAAAGAAAAAATGTGATCTGAATAGTTGTGGTAATGACTGTAAGGCAGAACAAAACACACCCATGACCTGAAGCTATATAGTGTAAAATGCCTAAGGCAGTAGTTCCCAAGCCTGTTCCTGGAAGCCCTCAACACACTCTCCATAATCAAATACCTTATTCTATTCAACTCTTCAGCTCAATAGCAGAGACTTCATGGCCTGAAACAGGTGTCTCTGATAAGGGAGACATCCAAAAATCTGTGCTGTTTGGGAGCTTCAGGAACTGAGTAGGGATCCTATGAGTGTGCATTGCTTCTAAAGCATGTCTGGAATGCCGAGGTGTTGTGTGAAACGCTGGACATTGGCATGACAAACACGGAACAAATAGTGCACACACCCCGGCCATGATGGTTACAATCAACACACACACCACTCTAACACTCACAGGCAATGTAACAGAATCACAAATAGACCAAAAATGAGGCTTGCCCTGTTTTAAGAACTTCGAAAGAACATTACATTACTATTACCGCTTTCGATTGTCAGCTGATCCGACACGAGTGTGGGAACATGTAAGACGTAACTTGGTCTATTAACAAGGTGACGTCATTGATACGCTGGCAATTTTGATTATTTGATGTAAGAATGTATAAACATAACTACACTTCCTGCATGCTTTTATTCAGAATTTTGGCTGTCCTAAGTAGTCACAGTGTACTATACAAACCAATAGTTTTAAGGGAATGACCACCATTGGTTTCAGGTGTTTTTTCCTTCTGTCAGTGAGAAAGAAATCCCACGGACGTTAAGGTGGGAAAACACTTGAAAGGACTCCGGTTAAGATAAGTAGGTTTGGTTTCACCATGCTTTACGTAGCAAACAAAGGAGAGGCCTTGGAGGAATGATGTCAATTACTCATCGAGATCATTCTAATACGGCTTCAAAAGCTCTCTTTGTTGTGGTTTTAAGTGTCAAATATGAGACATCATATATAACAAACCTGTAAAAGGCCACGCAAAGGGCTTGAGTGTCAAAACGGCTCAGAGAAAAGATAATCTGAAATTGGATAACGGTTGCCTTAAACACCTACGACATCCCACTATGTGTGAAACAGTGACGTCGTGCTCTTATCTCAGCTATATCGTTTTTTTCAGTGCGTATGAAATGAAGCAAGATATTGTTGACTAATTCCTTGGGGATTACTGGGAGAGAGAGAAAACAAGGCCCAAAACAAGACAGTTAATAAAGGTCTGTTCCACTTTTCTGTGACATAACACCACATCAAAACCTATGATGGGCTTTTCAGGTTATGAGCTTTTCTTTTTGTTTCCTTCTCATAATTCATATAAGGCAAGTAATTATTACTTAACTAAATTATAATTAAATAAAAAATCATAATCAGTTATTTTGATGATAATTTTGATCACAACTTTTAACAGTGCAAAACTTATTTCAACAATATTGTTTAATTGATTGCACTGACACTTTTGAATGAGAACTGCACTGAGCTGGACAGTGGCATCACTGTTTTCTACAGAACTGCTTTATAGATTAAATGTACTCATTTATAATGATCTTTACAACGGAACTGAATCAACACTGAACTGACTGAACTGACAGCTGAACAATGACAATACTTTCTTTTAGAGCTGCAGTACAGCCAAAATGAACTGTTTGCATCATAGAATTATTTTCACTGTATCAATGTTTCACTGTAATGTAAGAATTGTCGTGCATTAACCGCTTTTTGTAATGCCAATGTGTAACCAGCTTAAACAAACGAGACCTTCCCTGACTTCCTAGGTTGCCTATGTCTATGAAAGTCAGTAGACAGATTTTTAAGGACTCGGGCCGGTTTCACCAGGAAAATCCAAAGGATGTGATGTACACAACACGCGTTCCCGAGAGCCTCTCTTCCGTTCTAGAACACATGAAATTAATGCTAAATACAATGTTCAGAATAATGCCGAAAGAGCTATTTAGGATAATGCTGGAAGAGTTAATGTCAATGTGTCATGCAAAGAAAAGAGATTCATTCAAACTCTAGTCTCACATAGCCAGATTTATATATAATCTCAAGCATTCTTTATATTCAAACTATTACATCTGTAAAGCCCCGTACACACCGGGACGAATATCGGCGCGCATTATTCGTCAGCGTTTTTTGTGTTCACACCCAAGCGATTTCCGCTGACGTTGAGCCGAGTAACAATGCAAATTCATTCCCTGACATTAGATGGCGCTTAATGTAAAACAGAAATAGTCCTATTTTGTAGTCGCTGTCGCGTTTGTCATATAGTTCTTTATGTTCCGACACCAACGAGACCAGCAGCTCTACATTCATCTTGCCTTGCATCTTCCTCGTCTTATTTCTTCCTGGCAGTGTAGACCATAGATATCCATAATAAAGGCCATTGGCCAGCAGCGCGGACGAGACATCTAGCCTTTATTATGGATATCTATGTTGTGTAGACGCTACTTGGCGCATCTTCTTCGCCGTTACGTATGTGTGCTCGGCAAGACCGTTTTGTGTTTGAGCGCCCCCAAGTTGTGTTTTACTATAACTTCAGAAGCTCCAGACACGTGAGCAAAAGCGCCAATCTCATTGGTCGGATAGTTTTTGACGCGGCGCGTCAAACCAAAAAAACGAACCCGAGACGGTTTTTAAAAAATGACGCTTTTACGCGTGGCGTTTTTCGCGTCGGTGTGCACACTCACATAGGCGCCCTTTGTTTAGTCACGAGGCGTTAAACGTCGGCGAATAACGCGCGTGAAATTCGTCCTGGTGTGAACAGGCCTTAAGGCATATTTGGACTTTCTGCATGACTTTCACACCACCTTATTTTGGCTAAAAATACGAAAAATAATACTTCACAAGAGGCTCATATTTTATATTAAAGACATTTTGCATATCTCCTGAGTACTGACAAAAATTAAGAAATTACTGTCACACATTTTTATTATTATAATACTTTATAATAGAACCTTTCTAATGATTTATAGTTATAGGCTCCCTGCCTGCATGTTAACAATGCTTGTTTGCAGTGCACTGCTCTTTCACACTCCATCCCTACTGCGGAAACGAGTGGGGATATTTGTATTTGCGTATATTTTATAGATGTGAATCTTAAAAAAAAAAAAAAAAACACAACACAATCGCAAAGTTTTTGTTCACGTTCTCTTGTGCGTTATGCGTGCACAAGGGTGAAAACAAGCAATAAGTTGCTGGCTGCAATTCACTTAATGGCTGGCTGCAAATCACTTAGCAACCGGTGTTGCTAGGGTTTCTAGATTTCTACATAAAGCCTTTTAAATATAAAAAGATGAAATTAGATCAAGATAAATATCAACTGTTATAGTGCACTCCCACAGCCTACTGAAACTATTAAACATTTAGGGAGAAGTAAAAGTGCACCGCCAAAAACGAAAGGGGTGTGCTGCTGGATTGATAATGCGACAATAATAATTTTATCTTGATTATCATGTTTTCATAACCACCCTGGCAACTACATAGCAATATTCTAAAAACCATTTAGAACATCATATCCTCCAAATACTAATGCCATTGCATCATCGTGGCAAGTAGTACTACTCACATTTTCCAAAAAAATTAAAAATAGAATTTCCATGCCATTTTGTATTTTAGGAGGCAATTTGGGTCCAATCAGTCAGAGGGCATGAGAGAAAGAAATTGGACCTTTTGCCAAAATAAACTCTTGTTATTTTAGTCTATGATAAAAGCACATTTTGATGCTGTCCATCCCCCTGTCTGCTTTCTCAGGTTTTATGTGAAATATCTTGTATATATTTGGCACGATCTATTTATACAGGGAACATTGGACACATTATCAGTTGTCCTCAATATAATGTCGGTAAAATTGCCATGCACCAGGATTTGACAGTCATTCATTCATTTGAACCTTTTAATCAAATATAGGCCAGCTTTTGGGGAAAAAAAATGTCTTTGGATACTATTAAAGTTGTACAGAGTATTTTTTATGTGTACTTTATATTGTGTTATCAAATTATTTTATCGGTGGGTTTGCTTGGATCTAGTTGTATATGCTTTGTAAACATTGTAAACAAAGTAAAATTGTAGTTAGGCTAAATTAGTCAATTGTATTACACAGCTGATCAAGTGATGTCAATTGACAGCGCCCGTGTGGAGGACTGAAAATACTGCCGCTTTCTTTATCTAGTAATCTTACAATATAGTGCGCTTTAAAAAAAAAACTATTAGGAGGGTTGAACTGTATTTCCGCTCTTTTTTGTGCGACATGAGCGCCACCGTGTGTTGGGATAAAACATTGCAGTAATATAGCTCTCCTGCTGTCATGCTTTGTTTTTGTGTGTCGACATATTGCGGAAGGTCTCACTTTGAAAACACAACTAACTCCTTGATCTATATTCACCCGTTCAGTCGTATATTAAAGGATAACTCCTTAGATATTGTTTATAATGCATTGATAAAACAGTTTAAATGCATTACAATCAGCTAAGTTACAGTTCTCTATAACCACATCCATTAACGTTACAGTTCGCACAATTGCACAGTGGGATAATTTTCAAAGGAATACGCAGAACACAATAGTGCGAACTATAAAGTAATAATGAATAACAAGACCAACACAGTATCTAATATGATATTCCTGACCGTTTGGAATTGCGCTCTGGGGACGCGTCCATATCCACCATCGACGACTTTCTCTTGTTCCTCTTCGGTCTTTCGTTCACCGGCTCTGTCCTCGCCACTGGAGATCCGTCGGTTTCCTCCATTTGAAACAAGTGGACTTGGAATACGCTACTGTAAATTGTATATACAAAACGTAATACAATCAAAATGAGTTCATTCGAGGGGTGAATAGAAAGGGGGAAGGTAGTGATATGATATTCAACGGATGGGACGGATTTTGAATATGGCGGAAATCTGAAATCGCGGCCAATCACAAGTGAGCATAGGGGAGGGATTTAAGGCGACTAGTGACGACATATTTGCGCGCCTGCTGTCTCGTGTTCTTATTTTTATTAGTTTGTTTATAAATTTTTATTATACTATTTCTTAATTTCCATCTATATTTACCAACAACAATCCACAATTTCTTGCATTTTAATGAAACTAATCAGTACCGAAAAACGATATTTGCATATGAAAGCAAAACGGTGTAAAATCGCCCCTTTGGCGATTTTTTGTTATTGGATGATTTTATATTATTGTAATCGTGTCTATTCAATAGTTCAAGTAAAGATAAACGTACAATATTGTAACAGAAACAGGGAACACTGATGTTCATGCACTAAAGCCGTTATCAAACCTCAGGGCCCTTTTAGAATATTTCAAGAAATCTGAATAAAAACGACAACATGAGCTGTCCTGAGTTTGGAGACCGAACAGGTAGGACGTCAGTTTGAAAGTTCTAAAGTGTTTCTTAAGTGTTGTGAGGGCCAGTCTTTAGGCAGTTTTACCCCTCACAATGTCCAGACCTCATTAGCTGAAAACGTTAAGCTTGTTTATTTCAAACTAATGATGCCTATTGTGTGTGGGTAATTAAAAAACAAAAACAGTTCAAGCATTGTAGATGCACAAAGAAAAGCTTGACAGTTCCTAATGAATAAACTTTTTGTAACTATGAGTCAGTAAACCCGTTTTTTTATAATGCCTGCACAATAAACACGTTGTAGGTTGATGTAGTTACACATTTATTATTAGTATAACTGTTTAATAATTTTATTAGTATTTCAATTCCCACATGTTCTATGTTGGTAAAGCAAAATTAACTGAACCAACTACCAGGACCTGCATATATGCACAAAATATCAGGAAGGATACTTCATGATTAAAACACATGCACTTTTGATAACGAAACAGTCGTTTATAATTCCCTAAGTGTAAACATTTTTATTATGCAGGGATTCATGTTGCAGTCACATTAGCTTATGGTTACAGGTTATTAGGCAAAGGTTTGCAGTCTTTTATTTCATTCAGAATTAAATTTTCCCCAAGTATAAACTATTAAAATGCAAGTGTTTTTTTTTTGTGTGTTTTTTTAAATTGATGTTTCCAAAGTTAACATCAACATCAGTCAATATAGGAAAATATAAATAGAGGCAAAATAGCTTGTAGATTAAATTACGTATTTGCTTTGATCTTTTAACCATGTGAACTATATTATCCAGCTTTAATCTGAAGATTAAAATATGGTTTTCTGTAAAGTTGCTTTTTATTGTGAAGTGTTATACAAATACAATTGACTTGACTTGATTTGACTTCCAACTATTACCTAAATGAGCACATATAACACCTACAGTCTGAAACTTTAGCTTAGTGCCTTCAAACCAACAGAGGGCAGAATTTAACTGCAGATTAAGTCAGTTTTGGAGCAGGTATTGCCTTGGAGTGTTGATTTATTTGCTGATAAATACATAATGTGCCTCAAAATAACAACCAAGCTCATTGAAATTCCACTCATTTTCAGCTGAAATGAAAACATTTATTTCATTCCTATTTTATTTCCAATAACCTCTTCAAAGGCTTGAGCACAGATGCAGTAGGAAAAGGGCACTGAGCGCAATGGGAAGCCGAAGAATTGATCCCCAGTCATTATAACCGATTTCAAATGGTGCTAGATGATAGAAGGGACTCTCAGCACCAGAGGAAATCAGTCATCCTTTGGTGGGGAGAGATGGGGGCAGGGACACCCAGAGAGGGAGAAAGAGCTTTAGATAACAGTCTCTCTTTACTGGCACTCTCAGACAATGTTAACAGTTCAAATGAGGGTAGGAAAAACAAATACACTCAAAAACTCCTATAAAGAAAGTAAGATAGACGAGAAGACTCAACCACACAAACTTTCGTGATGTATTCATACAGTAAATACAGTCTGTGATCGATTAAGGCTGCTCACAGTAACACAAGTGAAGTAACACAATAAAACGTTACTCTATTGACATTTATCCAAGCGCCATAAAAGCCCTGGTTATCCTTGAACCTCGATTTGAAGAATTTGGTTACTTTAATCAAGTGATTTGATTGTATTTTTATTGAGAAACTCAAATTAAATGAAGTCCTGTGACATTTCATCATGCCATGTTTAAAAAAAACCTTAGATTAATTGAAATATGAAATATTAATTTTTAATATTTATATATTTTAATAACAAGTATTAATAAATGAAACTTAAAAGAGAAGATTAGAAATGTTAACTTGGCAACTAACTGAAATAAAATAAGTTATCATTAATTACTAAAATTACTTAAATAAATGAAAGCTAAATAGACATATTTAGCTGTAGAAAAATTGTTTTTTTAAAAGTGCTATATAAATATCAACGTTCAGTTGAGACAAAAAAAAGTGCTTTTACTCAATTTAATTACTAAAACTTAAACCTGAAAATATAAAAATAAAATGCAACTCAAGATATTCTTACTATAAAAGTACATAAATAATGCTAAAATAACACTGTATCATGCTGTATCACACATTTATGTAATTCATACACTGTTTTAATGCAAAATATTCATAGCCTTTTTTTGTTCAGTATTCTGCACCAGTCACAGACATAGCATCATGCAAAACAGCGCCTTGCAGAAACCTCCAAAACAAGGTTCAAAAATGGTATAGTTGATTAAAAATGTAAATAAAATTCCACCTACTTCAACTTAAAAAAGTTCAGTTGCTGCCTTATTTATAATCAAATTGCCTGAACAAGTCATTTCAACTCATTTTTATTTTCAGTTATATTAAGCTGATTTAAATAGAGTTGAATCTCGTATAAAAAAGTTGAAATTGCTTAAAGTAATGGAAAAACCTGATGTGATGATAGATTTATTTTTACAGTAGTATTTCCCTTGTGGGACTGGGCTGGCTTGTTCACACCACATTCATTTGACTTCCAGTATATGAGTGAGTTCATCAAGCGCTTGGGGCAAGTCATGAGCGCTATCTAGTTCTCCTGTGATTCAATAGATGCACTTCCCTCGCTTCTCTCGAAAAGCCACTCCACCCACTAAAGTTTCCTTGTCCTTTTTTTGATATTCTTTGACTTCTCTTGTCCATCACTGCGAAATGTGATCCAGCGGCAATTCCCTCCCCAAGAACACTGATTTCAAATGGTGCTAGACACTGGTAGAACACATCTAAACCACCATGTGAAACCAGCATCCGGAGGAAGCGTCCAGGAGTGCAAATGATCCCATCAGAAATCCTTGTGTCATTGGCTGAGCTGATGATTAACATAACAGGAAAGGCAAAAGGTTGAAACAGCAGTGGGCATGCTTTAACAGGAAGTGACTCTGTCAAAACAAATGTCACGGTCATGGTCACCATGGCGTTGCGGTTTTGAATAGTGATGTCCGATTTCCTCCATTGATACCAGACTTTGTGAACCTGGGTAAAGTTGGGAAAGTGACAGCATCTACATAACACACAATGTGCTTTGATGTATGTATGGAGTGTTTGTGTATAAATAGACCCTTGATTGCCCAGGAAGAATCCCTGCGCATAGGTTTTGTCCGTGGGAGGATGACGTCAGCCCTTTTTCAAAGGAGAACTGTGGGAGATGGAAAATATGAGTCACTGAAAGATCTCTAAACAATGTCATCATTCAAAGTAGACGTCAAAGACGAACAGGATTGGTCGCTCACCTGCGGCCGGGCCACTGAAGGTCCTTGAAGTTAAATTGCGTATACCTACCACCAACGCAACACTGACGTAGTCTCAGGCCCACTCGCAAATAAGCGCGTTTAGACGTGGCATGTCGTCTTAATTGCTTTGAAACGTGTTGAATGCAACACACCTCTCCATGGCTCCTCCTCATTTTTTACATCAGCCTATGACTGATCATGGTGATGTCATTGCTAGTCATTCTGCCATAGTCATTTTTCATCATTGTCTTGTCTCTACGAGGAAATGTTATTTATATCCTATATGAATATTTTTAATGAACTTTTAACATTTTTATATTTTCAGGATCCATTTTTATTTGTTTGTGCTTTTGTCGATTTTAGGGTTTTTTATTTTTATTTCAGTTTTAGTAACTTTATATTTCAACTTTATTTCTGTTACTTCAGTTACTCTCTTTACTTAATTTTCTAATTTCCATCCGGTTCCTAGAGATCTACCTTCCTGCGAAGTTCAGCTCCAACCCTGATCAAACACAGAAAACACATTCTCACCAAGAATAATTGCTACATATGGCCTGCAGCAATAAGCTATACACTACTGTCATTCATACTTTCCTTCTCCTTGCCCACACAGATTCGGCCTACCGTGTATTATTACACACCTTATTATCTGTTTCTCGCACACTGGAACCCACAGGAGGTGCCTGATTTAATAGCCTAAGTCACCCGGCACTGGCTCTTGTTTAAGAGGAGAGAAATGCAGCCCTGATTTTCACAAGAAGTGACAGTTAACTGTCTTCTGTTAACCGGCGCTAGCTTTGGTGTTCAGTTTTGTCAGTTTAATTGGACAGAAAATATCATCTTGTATAACATACACTATTCAAAATAGCACAACACTAGCAGCCTGAGAAGCTTATTAAAAAGTCCTCTTAGCTATTCTGAATTCTTTTCTTTTTTTTACAGCTATATATTCCTGAAATGGCTCTCCTAAGAAAACACACCCATCTCTATAGCAGCACTAAGCTCTGTAAATGGCAAATAACAATGTGACTGTGGTCCACTGAGATGGCTCTCTGTAAACCACAACTAGTGGCATGAGTTTGAAACAGGACTACATTTCGGAAGCTTGTTTGAAAATAATGATTATCTCTGCAATTCCATGTAGTGCTAGTGGCTAGTGAAGTGCAGAAAATGCTTACACAGCTTTTAAAGATATTTTTCTGAACAAAAGTTATTAGTCATATGTAAGCCCAGATGAAATCATTTGACTTTCCACATTTTCTGTGCTGATTTTGAGGGAAAACGGTAGAATTCTAGGGAATGGATTTGGTACATGGTAAAATGTGGTAGACTCAACCAATAAGTCATTTTCAAATTAGCCAAAATATAAACACACTAGGGAGAGGGCATATGTAGAAAATGGGGGTCTGTGAAAAATTTGATAAAATGAAAGAGATTTTTAAAAAGGGTTAAGGTAAAGTTAGGTTTAGCATGCTGCTTTGATATTGATATTGAAAGGGAGGGGAGGAGGAGGAGGGGGGGGGGGGGGGGGGGGGGGGGGGGTTTGGTCATCATATTTGGGGGTCATAATGTTTAAATATTTCTGGTCTATAAAAGACCTCCCAATTCTATGGAAATCAAGTTCTGTGTGCAGAGATTTCATGTAAGCCTGGTCATAAACCCATCCCTAAAACACTTGTCCTATTAGTAATGTTGATTGTAATATTGATAGTGCAACTTACCGGATCCATTTAGAACAGCACGTGTTCAACATTTTCTTTCTGCAGTTCTGAAAGCAAACAGAAGAGGGCAGTGTTTCAGTACATCTCATTTAAGACACAAATAACCAGCAAAAGCAGGGCAGCAGAGCTGAAGGGACTCCTGCCAATTCAGTGAATACACAAACACACATGTGAGTCCTGCTCTCTGGTGTGTGTGTGAAAAGCCCACCATGGAGGTGTTGTTCTTTGCGCCCTGTCACTCCACTTCCTGCTCTATTCAATCCCAGGAAGTGACACGCAGAAGACAGAAACTCACTCATGTGCGCACACACATATACACACAAACTAACAGAAATGAATGGACTGCATGATTGCCCGTTGCTACCAGTGATGACATCACCCCCTCCCACCCGTTGCCTCCTTGGCCTAATTTTTTTAAAAGAGAATGACAAGATCTCCTATTTTATGTAACAACCTACTTTGAGCACTCTTTCAGTCTCGATTGTTCGCTTAACATGTCTCTCTCTGTTATCAATTTATTTTGTACTGACCGAGCCTTGCCGCCAAAAAGGACAGCTAAATGTTTTTGTCTCTGTGAATACATATGGGTGAACACTGAACAGAAAAACCTCTCCTCTTTGGTGGCTTGGCTCGAGTGAGCTCTGAGTCTGTATGACGTGGCCCAGAAGTGATTAGTCTGTCCAGCCACGTGAGTTTCTCACTGCTGGATCTGTTAGAGAGGCGGAGTGGTGCTCAAACCACTTTTGATCTGATCTGACCCTTAAAGCCTGACATTTAATTTTTTTTTAAATGGAACTGCTTCAAAATAATATAAAATAATACAAAACAAAAGTAGGTGTATGCTTATCATATTACATCAGGCTTTTATTGCCCATATAGTAAGATATAATACAAATATGGAGCTCATGCTCAAGGAAAAAAACAGACCAAAAAAGACCAATCAATTTTAGATCAATTATTTTTATGATCAAAGCTCTGTATTTTTAATTGTGCAGAGGCAAATGCAATGCAATTCAATGATGATTGAGAGATACAAATAAACATTCCTCAAAAGCCTGATGAATCATATTTGATACATTCCAACATGATATTCATTCATCATTTTTTTTAAACCGAAGTTGCTTCAGACCAGTAAATGTTCATCTAGAGATATTTCTAACAAACTAAATTAAGTTTACATTTAAATTATTAAAGGTTTCACTGCAATGAACACATGTATCACAACCTGAAGGTTGACTTTTTCACAATTATACTAAAAGGCCTTTTACTTGCAAGGCATGCATTTGCTTGTGTGCAACAGGCTTTTCAAGTTTTTATCATGTTGAGGGCTTAGAAATTCATGAATCAAATACGTCACAAAATCAAGAAAAAGGGCACAATAGGTCCTCCTTTAAAACTTTCAGCACCTGTCACCAATCCCTCTTAATTTTCAACCACCTCTATCCTTGAATCTCTAACACACTAACATTCCTGATGCATAAAAACTAGTCCCGCCCTCATTTGTTTTTTCTTGTTGTACATCCCATTTCACTGACATCAGACAAATACATCAGACAGTGGGTAGTTGAAATTACTATTGTTGCTCCAAACTATTACATAATGACTTGGATAAAACCAGTTGATCTTGATCTGACATTTTTAACAGTGTATACATTAAAGAGTCTGTGGTGTGAGAACTAAAGGCGGATGGGGTCAGAAAAAGCAAGCACTTCATGTGCGTCAAAGCAGGTTGTAGAGCATCACAAGCATCTGCCCACCACTGTACATGACCCATTTTTCATTACTAAACATATACAGAATATGCGCACGCATACAGCAGTGTAGTTATTTCTCCATCAAACGTTTAAAAACCCAACAGTGTACGCTGCCCTACGGGATAGTGACTTTTACAGCTCATAGAAACTCGTTCATCATCTCGATTAGTCCCCCCATACTTTCCCCCAGCATAAACAAGTGCTTCAGCAAACACTTCTGCTGCGACACCAGTCGATACTCGTCCTTCCCCATTTCCACAAACTCTATTTCCCAGTCCGTTCATTCATGGGACAAGCAGTTTTCCCCATTCAAAAAGAATCTGTGCTGGTCCTGATGTAGGCTTATGAGTGAGATGCAGGGATGTACGGATGTTTTGCCCGATGAGTCAGATGTGAATCATAGGAGGCAAGTGTGTTTTATTTTAATCCTGTCAGTGGCAAACTATGACACGTATGCAAGCACAGCTATGACTCACATTCCCAAAAGTGCATAAACCCTTAACTGATCCCAGAGCAGTAACAAATTCCAGTAAATGGTTCCTCAAGGGTCAATAATTGAACCGAAGTGTGATGTCTGCACACTTAATTCATAGCTCCAAACAACTTTATTGAAAGCGCAACGTTTGGACGGTCAGGTCTTCATCAGGCACAATGCCTATGGGGAAAAATGTGCCTTATGAAGACCTGACTGTTGAAATGTAGCACTCTCAATAAAGTTGTTTGGAGCTGTGAGTTCACACTTCTTCTTTTTTTTTACATTATTGTTATTTTTGTTGCACCTGAGCCCAATTACGTGGGATGTGCACACATTTTTTTTGTATTTTTGATTCTTCAATTAAATGTAAAAGGTCTGCAAAGACGAAACTAGTCATCAACAATTCCAGTCTCACTTCCATAACATATCTACATAGGTTAACTAATTTGCATAATTCCAGCCTATGGTCTTCATTGGCTGCCCACAAACATCTACTTAGTACTTTGACCCACCCTCAAACACTGTAGTTGTAGATGAGGCCTGGAAGAGTTAGATTTGTGTTGTTGACAGAGAAGATGCCGTTTTCAGCACCGAGAATCCACTTTACATGCACTTCAAAAGGATGACGACTCACTGTGTATACACAATGTAAGTGTTGAGGGAGCCTTCGGATTTGGTAATAGCTGTTTTGTTTCCGAAATCACAACAGAATGGGCCATCTAACAAATCAGAGTAGAGTTGGCTCTCAGAAAGAATTTAAAATGAGTGAATCCTTTATTGAGCCGTTTCAGACACTGAGAAAAGAGGTGTCTGTAAACTTATTGTAGGAGACCTCCAAAAACAAAATTAGGAATGTTTAAAATGGCATAACAGGGGCACTTTAAACACTGTGTGGCCTGACTGCATAGCGCAGTTGACCGTCTGAAGCCCTGCAGAGAGACACACATGAGTGCAGCAGGATTAAAGACTCTGAGATGAAAAGAACGACATGAGACAGTGCTGTGAGGATACAGTAGATGGTTTTAACACTGCTGTGAGTCTAAGAGCGAGAAAGACCCCAAAGTTAATGCAGATCAGTCAATAGAGTTCAGCATGGTGTTAATATGGCTTAGCATGCTCTCTTGAGTTCATGCATAGGGCATGGAGAGTGATGGCTATAATGGCAGCAGGTCGCACACTCATTCTCTCTTTCTTCCTTTCTTTAATTAGAAGGTACTCTGAAGGAGACTGTCACCTATTTATAAATCAAGGCTGAAAATGGTGCTTCTGTGTGAGTTTTATTAAATCCACACAATGCAGCAACCGCTGCAGCACACAAAAAGTTGGGTATATAAAAAGTCTAATAAACTCTTAGATTAGTTAGATCTGGTGCTTCAATGAAAGCAAGAACAATTTTAATTGAAATATCACAAATTTACTTATTTTTTGTTTAGTGAGCTAGTGCAGAATTAAATTTGTGTTTATTTATTTATTACAAATTTTCTAAATCCTAAAACTTGATTTATTTCTATATTAAATTATTTTTTTAATCGCATATTTTCAATGTGCTCTCAGACTTTTGGATCCCTCCTGTATATATTTTTATAGATGCAGTATTTGTACATAAATACACAAGCAAACAGGCGCCCACACACAGCTATACACAACACGACACATATTCCTTTCATAATAACCAAAACATATTTTCCCCTCTTCATCTCCTGGCATTATCCACAGACATTTTGGCAGTGCATCGTCCCAAAGCATGCTCTTGGTGCGCGAGTTCTCTGGATTTCTTGGACATTTCGTGGGGAATTTCAGACATCTGGCTGTTCCTTTTGATCTATTTACAGGAAGAGACTGAACTTTGGCCCACTTGTACACGCGCAGTGTGACATAGCCACAGGAGAATGTTCCTTTCTGGGCAAAAACAGATAAACAACCTTAACCCTATCAGAAGAGTGGGCCAAATTTAGAGCCTGAGTAAATACACAGCGAAAACAGAGTGGAAAGATAGAAAAATGAGGATAAGCAAGAGTTTTTAGAAAGAAACCATACTTGAAAGGACAAGGAGGACTATCCGCTCATACCGTCTATGTTCCTTTTTGGCACTGCACTCACATGTAGACTGGATCTAAATGCTTGCGATGTGTGAAGAATGACGTGAGAGGAAGTGATGCTAACCTGAGTCATGCTAAACACAAGAAGCCTTTTTCTTATGGCTCGCAATACTTTGCTAGTTTATTTTGGTATACAACTTCATTTGAGCCTATGTATAATAACACCTGACAAATAAGTGATTTTCCCAAGTGGCTTTTGACAAAGGAGGAAGAAAATTACAGTGACCCGCAACTACAAATTCCCAGAATGTCTTGAACTAAATGAGCTCCTGGGAAACCCGGCCTGCGCTCATCTGGAATAGCCTTGCCAACAGAAACACCACTGCGCAAATCAGTAATTTCACATTTCCTCACCGCAGTGTGCAGCTTATTACGCATGTCTGCTTTCTGATAACCTCTAAACCGCCATTACCTGCAGTCGCATACAGCACACAGACACTGATGCAGAGCTTGACTAGCAAGTCAGCAGTCGTTTACCAGACACTTTTATCCAAAGCGATTTCTCTGTGAATAAACCTGGGATTAAAGGACTAGCTGACACAAAACTGAAATTTGTTATTTACTAAACCCCATGTTGTCTCAAACCTGTATGGACTGTCTTTCTTCAACACAAAAGGAGATCTTAAGAACAATGTTAGCACTGCTCTTTCACACTACTTCCATACTGAGGAAACGAGTAGGGATATTTGTATTTGCATATATTTTAGAGATGTGAATCTGAAAAAAAAAACCCACACATAATCGCAAAGTTTTTGGTGTTGGATCCCAATTAATCATGTTAGGTGTGATGAATTATGATCTTGTATCTTGCAATCATATGAATTAACACTTTCCCTGAACGTAATCAGTGCGAGAATAGAACCCAACTCACAAAAAATGGGGGGAAAACACTAGCATATAGCCTCTTTAAGTGAAAAAGTGTGCTGTATTAATTGTAAATGCATCACGTTAAACAGTTTACATTAACCAAATAAATTTGGCTAGTAAATCTGATGTTTAAAATCAATGCTGCATTGGTGGCTTCACAAGTGAATGCATCATGCTAAGTTGGAATATAGTGGTAAATGCTAATGAGTCTTGAGAGCTACGGCAGGGGGAAGATTTTCATGGTATACAGAGCCCCTAAAGGGACATAATGATGGAAAAGAATAAGACTTATAAACTTTATTCCAATCCTTTTGCATTCTCTCGCAAAAGTTTTGTCCCCCACACAACTTCGCTGGCAAAACTTTTACAAGCAAATTCAAATTTTCTAAGGAAAAATTGTCAGTGCTTTTGCCTTTGCTAGCATAACTTTCACAACAATTTACACAGTTTAATGATCATCACGTTTATATTTAAACTAAAACTGATTTCTGAGAAATGACACATTCCTGTCTGTGAGGAGATAGCTTCTTGGAAGTCTCATAGGCCCTAATATAACTGTACTGTATGCATAATTGAATAAATATCATGAGTCTTAACTGACTCACGTCTAGCCGTCGGCTACGGCTCGCGTATCTCACTACTCCCCCAGCAATCCTTAGGGATTTCTTACCCTCCCCCCCCTCTCCCTCGGTGTATAGTGCACATTTGTTCTTCATTTCACTGCACTTGCGCTTAAGCGCACTTCCTCTGACTCACGCTGCAAACAGGCCTTAAATCAGATCATCTGTCAGAGGGTCCATCTCAGCGCCGATTAACAGCAAGGGAAAAAAATAACTCCACCGCAGTTGCCTGCATGTTATTCACACAGTCTTTGCTTTGATGACTTGTCAGCGGCACGGGGTCAGCCTTCCAGCAAACCACAGGAGCGAGTCATAAAGCAGAGATCTCTTAACAGAGGGCCCGAGGCCAAGGCTGCTTCCCAAAACTGATGTGCTTCAGGAAAAAAAAAACACTTTACAGTAAACGTGACTCTTGTTCCCAGAAACCTAGTGTGGGGCCTGTGTGACGTTACAGTCCAGTGCACACAAAAGAAACGGTCCACTGGGAATAGCATTGTGTGAAATGTGATAAACTCAGTCAAGCTAATTATTGTGTAAGTACCCAAACACATCAGTGTCTGCTTTTGTATTTAATGGCTAATAATTCAAGTTTTCACACCTGAATCCCCCTTTAAAAGGAACAAAAAAACCTCGAAAGAATCTGTGGACCAAAAGTGAATCGAGTGAAGAATCCATTTATCTTTGCATTCACACTGGCCTTGGGGTCAGGTCCCATTTGGTCCATTTTATTATTCCTGAATTTCAATTATAGTAACAAACAGGAGAACCGACTTCTTTTATACAACTTATTTTTAACTTGAAAAGTAAAGTTTGTCCAGACAAACATATAATGGTGGCTTGAGAAAGCCTTGTTTGAAAGATTTGGAAAAAATGTAAAAGGCCTTATGATGGATGGATGGATGGATGGATGGATGGATGGACGGACAGACGCATAGACAGACAGATGGATAGATAAATGGATACTATGGATAAACAGATAGATTGTTAGACAGATAGATAAATGGACACTGTGGACAGACATAGATAAATGGGCAGATGGATAGATAAATGGATACTCTTGATAGATAAACTGAGAGATGGACAGATAGATGAATGTAGACAAAGAGACAGATGGATAGATAAATGGATACTGTAGAATCTAGATGGATGGATAATGAATGGAAACTGTACATAGATGGACAGACAGATGGATAGACAGACAGACAGACAGATGAACAGACAGATGGGTGGATAAATGGATACTAGATAGATAGACAGAAAGACAATCTATGTTTAAAATCCCACTCATAGAAACTTGTATTAAATTATATATATTTCTACATTCGTAAGAAATTAACTTTTGTGAACCAGGGAAGAAGGACATGTCCTTTGCCAGAATACATTTCCTGTTAAATTTATTTAAATTGCAATTTAGTAAATTCAAGTTTCAAATCAAATTCCTATGAGGTGTGGCCAATTAATACTGAGAATTGAATCCCCATAATACACATTTTCAGTTTTAAACTCTCATTGCTGAGTGCTTGAAACCCTAAAACGGCTCTGACGTTATTATGCTGCTGGGTATTTTTGTCAATTAGGTTACCACCTACCTCTTGTTACATTACAACCACATGATAACATCCCATGCAAGGATGAAACTAAATCAGCCAAGGATACTCTCTATCAGAGACATGCAATATAAATCAGAACGACCGCCTACACTGTTATATCCCTCTGGATAATTGTAACCTGTCTTTTAACGATTAGACTGATGACTCCTCTGGGTTTTCAAATAGTCCTCCCCTTCGTTCTCCAGTCTAAGTGATATCTTTCAGTTCCAAGTCCCACAATGACGTCTTGCTTCAATGACTTCACAGATCTGACATCAATCAATCCATTAATAACAGCACAAAACAGTCAGTTTTTCAATCTCTCCCAGTGATTAATGAATAATAAGTGGTTGTTTAATGATTGTGAACAGTATGTGTCTGAATACAGGGTACTGATTGGCTGTGCTCTAGTTATACAATGAAAAAAACATTTCATTCATTCAACACAATCCTGACAGTCTGAGGGTAGAAAAAGTGGGAGAGTACATATCTGTATATCAAGGAGGAAACATTAATCTAGCTTTCATAAGAAAGTCCGGGCATCACGCCAGCCAGACTGCAGTATAATTCATTGTACACTGGCATGTAATACGCATGCTAAATCAACGTTGCCTTAATGTTATGTTATGAGAGGCCAAAGTCCTTCATTGTGGACCTTATCTAATGAGACATGAAATATGAGTAAAACCACAACAAACACCGGCAAAATTTGGTATTATTTACAGACTGATCCTTTGCTGTCTCCAAGGATCAGTAGTGATTCTATTCCTAGCTCTAGAAAGAGTCTAAGATGATATTATGGTTTGATATGGCCATTAACAAAACAGTTTGACCTCCACAATAAACACCACACTAGACGTGTGCTGTAACCAGGCACAACAACCCAAACAAGTGGTCAAAACCAAAATGATTAGTTTTGTGGCATTGCACTCAGTAGCCCCACCCATTTTGAAATCATTCAAAATTTGAAATCATTCAAAATCTCATTGGTCCAAAATATTTCTCCACACAACTATGTATTAAACATCAAATTTAACATTGGCTGTGAACGTTTTGCATTGGACAGTATTTTCACTTCAGGTGTGGAAAATAAATAAATAACAATAAATAAAAATGAATATACCGGTAATATGTAAGATATTTATTAAATTAGATCATGTGTAAAATCAGTTCCACCAAGACATTCTCTCATACAATTTCAGGAGGATTACCTGGCATACAAAGCCAAAGCCTTGAGGCATACCATACCAGAAACGCTTCATAAAACCACACGCACACTCTCATGTGTTTGCTCAGCTCAGCCCCGCCATTGGCCACTAAAGCAGTGATGTAATCATGTCTTGTCACTTTCTCACAGCTCAAGTAGGAGAGGCCAATTAAGTTCCTTCAAAGTTACTCAACTCCACATCGCAAAACATGTTTTCTCAAATCTTCAGCGGGGGCATGATTTGTCTGCCCAGGAGCACATGGAAGAGAAGGCGTGACACACTGGCACGTACGTCAGAAATACTGCTTCATCTTTTTCGTTGACACACTTTTTTTTCTCCCTATTTTTCAGTTTTATTCACCTTCATGTTAGGTCTGGCTTGCTGTTAAACTTCCACTGTTTCTGCTGTCACACACACAATAGCGTACAGCCAGAGCAGGTATTCTCTCTACGTCAATCCACTGAAGACGTGGCACTGCAGCGGAATGGTTCACAGCTGCCCAGATTGAGTTACCTTCCTTTTGACGTACTTTCAGCTCTCAGTTTCTGTCCGTGTGTTTCTCTCTCACATGCATACACACATTTTGTGTTTCTTATGTCCAACACACAATAGTTGCAGAACCTACTGAGCTGCCTAGTAAAACAGATTTTTAGGGCGGGCAGCGTCACAAGTATCCTTTGAGAATAAGGCAATCCCAGAATGCAATTCTGCATTCCATCCCAAAAAAATCCAAGATGGTGGGATAAGTAAAATAGGCTTAATTCAATATCAAAACAGTTCAACCTAACTTACAAAAATACAGGAAAACTGGGGGGTTTTTTATGTCGTTAGCTTAGCAACATGTTAAGTTCAAACTCTATTGGAAGTGCACCTTTCGTGTGCTATTTTTGGGTAGCAAATTGAGTTGATGCCCATGTACATCATTTCAAATAAGCCATAAGGTTTTTATTAAATTAGGATGTTCGTCTGCGTAAGTAGCTCGCAATGTTTTGGGATAGGGCTCTTGACATTTCTCCCACACTCACACAAACACCATGTTGCTACATCCACAAATACACGTCATAATTTCTAACAGCGATACTGTACCTGTCATTTTAGGATTACATCTTACCTTAACTTGGATGATATGTCCTCATTCACGCCGGTGGCCTCTTTCACTGGTCTTTCTGCATTTAACGACATATAGGGATACTTTCAAAGCTCTGACCGCCCCTTGATCCATAAGGCACCTGTCCCGGGACCACCAATACAGTTGCACTGTTCAAGAGGGAAAGAGAAATCACATGAAGATCAGCCTCTAAAACAGAGGGTGTGTCCCTGTAAGCCCACCCAATCAAACACAGATGCACACACACACACACACACACACAAACACAAATGAAAAAGGAAGCACACACCCTTGAGAAAGAAAATCTGAAACCTAAAGCCTATAAAGGTAGAGAAACTCTAGCTCTCGTCCTCTTGCTGGCACTGGTGGTAGTTTCTTCAGAACAGAAACCCCCATGGAAAATCCAAGAGTTCACAATGTCAACATTACTATGAGACATGCAGCTAAGGGTGTGTTCACACTTGGCATGTTTGGTTCGATTAAAATGAACCCTGGTGCGATTGCTCTGTTCATTTGAATAAGTGTGAACACTGGCTTCCGAACCCTGGTGCGCACCAAACAAGTGAACCAAGACCGCTGAAAAGATGGGTCTTGGTCCACTTCCAAACAAACTCTGGTGCAGTTAGAATGAAATATAAACGCAACCAAGACCAAAGACAAGTTAACGAACCAAAAATGGGACATGAATTAAATGGAGACTTAGGGCCAGATTTACTAAACAGGGCAAATTAGCGTAAGCGCAATTCTAAAAAAGCGGTGATGGGACTGTAAAGTGCTGCATGTGATCTACTGACGACGCGCAAATAAAAGAACACAGACGCAGCCGGATCAGTTCCATAATGACCAACGCAATCTACCAAGAGCAGTGCAAATTAGCGACATTTTAGTGACATTTATCATCTTATTTTTGGATCAACTATCCCTTTAAATCAGATTTTTCTAAAGTCTAAATTATCTGAGCTATTCTATCCACATTCATTTTATAGCATTATAATTGTAGTGTGTGGCAACAATTTGTTCATTTGCATCTATTTTTTGTATCTCTCTAAGTAATTTAAGGAGTAAAACAACTTTAAACAAAACAAACTTAAGTCTCCTGAGCTATAAAAGAGCAATCTCTGAACAATAAAATTGTTCACTGGATTCATCTAACACACACACACACACATATAAACAAGCATTCACAAATATTTCTCATCCGCCCCTTTACTCATTCTCATTCAGCTTTGAATTCTAAGAAACATGGCAGAGTTTAAATGTCGACCCGGTCACACACTCCACCGACACTCAAACACTGAGTAACTGTAATAGTGGCACCCAAGCCTGTTACCGTGGAGACTGGGGAGGAGAGGTCTGCTTCACTTCTGAATCCTTTGCAAACCTTTTTGTTTCAACTGCGCACAAAACACATCCGTCCATTTCTAACTCATTTCTAACTCATACATTTCGTAAAATGGAAAAACCACTGACCCGCAACGTTTTTTCGTCCTGATCTTGCAACATTAAAACTATCATTGATTAAACTCGGGCCTGACCTAGAATATTTCAGGGGCTGTGACATCACCTGTCTGCGTCAGCACAAGTCTCATTAGAGCCTGCTGTGATTAAGGCGCCTAGTAGCGCTGAAATATGAGTTAACATGGCACTAATTAGTGTGAACTTTTCAAATACTCCTATCATGAATCAGCACAGCGGACAGAATAAGGCCTTAAAGAATGCAAACGCAGACAAAGCTTCTGTAGGAAAATATGCAAACACTCAATATACACTGCAAATGAACAGCATTGTACTGTGACTTATGTTTAGTTGTGGAGCAACCTAGTCTGTACACGGACATAAAAAACCCTACCAGTCAAAAGTTTGAACACCATCTTCTCATAATCTTAAAGGGACAGTTCACCCAAAAATGAAAGTTCTGTCATTTACTGTAGAACACTAGCCTGACTTCGTCATACTCCATATTCTAGTCAGAATGTGAGTCTGATACTGCTCCATAGGGGTTTGATTATGAGGCGTGTCTTAACCGAACCAGGAAAAAAAAACTCTGCACTCAATTGGATAGACCTACAACCAATCAGAGCAACGCATGTTTTTTTATGAGCTACGCAAATTGTCAACAGAACTCAACTGCACGCACGCTGGAAGAAGTAGTAAAATAATGAGTGTTGCTTCTTTTACTTGGTTCTCCATGAATGCGACCAAAGGAGAAACCACAACGACCACAGGGTTTTCATTGCGTCCCATCTTCTTAGCGACCATCGGAGGAGCCAGCTGATAAAATAAACTTTTGCCGAATCCCATAGGAAGGACGGCAAACACATCTTTCTGATCGACAAATGCCTTGAATGCAGTTCTCTGTTCGTCTTTTAAAATGGATGCGCTGGCGATTTCTTTTACAACAGACGCAATAGCGGAATCTATACATCTCAATTCTCCAGCTGCAGTCATCTTTGAGGGAAACCAGTTCAACCCAAGCGCTCTTTGATAACGTGATGATTACGTAACTGCAGATCATCTGTCCATCATCGTATAAAGCCCGCCCTGGCAATTTGATTGGCCCGACTAATTCTGAACCGATCATAATTACTCCTCAATGGATCGAGTCCAGACCGAACTTCCCGACCAAAAAATGTTGTGGGCGGGGTTCGGGCTGGCATCCAGGCTAGTAGAACACTGTAGGACTTTTTCTTTTCTAATGTGGAACACAAAAGAAAATATTCTGAAAAAAGTATTTGGACACTATAGACTTCCACTGCATGGACATTCTTCAAAATATCTTCTTTTGTGTTCCACAGAAGAAAAAGTCATGCACGTTTAGAACGACATGAGGTTGAGTAAATAATGACACGATTCAATTTTTTGGGAGAATTATCACTTTAAAACGCCAGCTATCACCCTGTAGCCCAAGACTGGTTGCCCACTGAAGCCAAGCAGGATTGAGCCTGGTCAGTACCTGGATGGGAGACTGGTAAAACTAGGTTGCTGCTGGAAGAGGTGCTAGTGAGGCCAGCAGGGGGCGCTCACCCTGTGGTCTGTGTGGGTCCTAAAGCCCCAGTATAGTGATGGGGACACTATATTGTAACAACCACCGTCCTACGGATGAGACGTTGAGGTCTTGATTCTCTGTGGTCTCATTAAAAATCCCATCTCTTAAAGAGTCAGGGTGTAACCCCGGTGTCCTGGAAGTTTAAAGTAGTTGAATATAAGATGGTTTTGATTTGGCTAGCATTTTTGGTCACTACATAATTCCACTTTAGTTATGAGGACGTAAAAAATAGTACCACGAAAGAATGAGCAGGTGTGTTCAAACTATTGACTGGTAGTGTCTACGTGGGTGGTGATAAAGATGGTAATAAAGCTGATAAAGATTTTCAGGTGAGCAGGTGGACGTAATAGGTCAAGGTGCGTCCTGGCCACACCTACAGCTGCATTCACTAACAGCCATTCCACCAGCCGAAGCGTGGACAGATGCCACAAGATGAACCGATACAATGAATACAAGGCATTTATGTCCATTAATTCGACAAAAACCTGATAGTGATTCAGAAGTCTTAGTGAAATCATTTCAAGCAGGAAATTGTATTTAAATACCGTACATTGTTTGAAACTGTACTATGAGGATGTACAGTCACATTTCTTAAAATAGACTCTGTTTGAGGTTCAAAATTAGCTGAATTCCCCACAGAATAAAGTAACATTAAAAATGAAAATGTTTAGTAAGTTCACATTCTGAAGATGAATCTGTACGTTCTTGTGTTTCAGTTTCTGTTCCTGTAGTGCGACTGATGAAAGCAATGCTAAAACCATGATCCACTGGGAATTCTCATACTGATAAACATAAACCACCGTGAGTCACTAAGCATCTGCCAAAATGAAACTGGTTAAAAAATGTTCTATTTACCTAGTAGTTAAACGCCAGCAAGCTACTTACTTACTCGAATGCCAGTACACCTGTAGCCTTCTGGACCAAGAAATACACTGCGCTGACACCAGCCAGGGAGACACAAGCACACTAAACATATCTCAGTAAAAGCTTTAACATCACAGATTAATGATTTACAGATTTTGAAAGTAACACTCACTGTCACGCAGGCATCTCCTGACTGCGTTCGCCATCCCACAACTCCTGAGAGAGAATCCAATAAGTTCCTGTGAAGGAACCTTGCTGCTCTACTTTCCACAACAGAGTGATCTCAAGCAGCCTCTCCTGTTACTTTCACTCACTGCGTCTGTGTGTGTGCGTGTTTTGCACAGTCATTTACAACACATCCAGTCAAGCGATTGCTGCCAAGAGAGTCCGCAGGCAAGCCAATCTCACTTTCTCTCTCCCCTCCTCCCTCCCCTTTTCTCTCTCAGCCTCTCTTTCAGTAAATGCTTCATGTGTCATCTATCAGGCACTAAATCATTCGTAGCTGCAATACTACTCTGGCCACTGAGGTGGAACGTTGTTTTGAGGTTGAGGACACGTCAATTTGAGGTTGCAGAGAGAAAAAGGAGGGCTGATGGAAATGGGTGAGCTCAATCAAAAACAACTTGTCACCGCAACAGATGTTTTGAAGAAAAATGTATCCCTTTCACAACGTTTGCAGCTTGTAGTCATCTGGAAATCTTGAGGGAATATTTTGCCCAAACTAGTTGTAGAATAAACACCACTGCTTCAGTAAAAACTAATGAGCTGGAGTTCAGACTGTACCACACAAATAGTTATCAATTGCGTACTTCACAATTCACTTACAATTGAAGCACGACCACGCAACCTAACCTAGATTATTTGTCCACACTGAAAGTGAAAATCACATGACACTGCATGATCACAGCCGATCAAAACATTGTTTGACAAATTTTGGACCAATGGCATTTTACAGTGGGTGGGGCTTCATAATTAGAACCCCAAACATCCTGTTGCTTGTTGCTTCTTGCATTAGCAGCCAGTTTTGTTGGTAACTCGTTTAGAGTTAGTGTAACATTTAGTCAGACCACAAGAATGCAGAGGAACTGCAAAAACGCAACTTAAAATATTCTTAATTAGTAAACTAAAAATGAAAGGAAGATGATCAAACACAAATGTCCCCTGAGAGTGAAAATGAAAGTTTAATAACTGTAGGGCAGGCAGTCAATCCTGCTCTCTTTCTCTCTGACTCTTTTGTTATTCGGGGGGAATTCCACAAGTGCACTTGCTCATCGCCACCACAGAACGGATCCAGTAACAGGAGAGCGGTCACTGTTGCAGGTGCCTCTTCCACTCGGGGCATAGGAATCCGGTGGCAGACCTCACACAAGAGCAGACGGAGTCAACAGTGGCGCCACACTGCGACGAGATCACAGGCTTGGTCGCTCGACTCATGCTACGGTCATTTCCCTCAACTCACAGGAATGCGAGTGATGTCCACTCCTCTACTCTTTCTTCGCTGACCCTTCACCCAGTCCAGCATCCTATCCTCCTTCACAAATGAGTGAGTCACTTGATCCTTCACTTTCACTCACCCTAATTTGTCAATCTCTACCCACAACCCTCTAGCAACTCTCTCTGTAGGAATCTGCTAAAATTGTCCACTTCCACCTTGTCCTCCTGCTGCTTAGCAAACCCTCATCCTTTGACACTCTGTTATCCCAGACCCTCCAACATCACAACAAGACCTCCCACAGGAATACACCATCAGTCTGTCATTATCAATCCTATCTGGACATAAAAGGACATTTCCTCCATATGCCCTGTTTACACTGAAAATAGCTCTTGAAAATAGGATTACAAATAAGGTTATTTTGCATTTAAAAAATGTCATTTTATTTCGAGAAGGAATCAGTTGCTGCTACAAAGCAATGTAATGCAAGGGAAAGTGTTTGTATTTAAATTGCATTGCCAAAATTTCACCAAATCTCATTGGAATCCAATTATTTCGGGTGTCTTTGTCGTGACAGATGGCTATCGGTGTGAACGCCTCATCAGAGTTCCGTTCCCCTGAAATCAATTGTGATTGGTGGAGAGGGTAATGTGTTATAGTTTGAATACTTATCTTGGCATCAGCAACCACAAGCACACAAGAAGTTTTGAGAACAGTGCAGCTCTCCTTTTTACACACTTCAGCTATCAATGCTGCTAATCAAAAGTAAAGGTGTGGTATGGGATAGGGCCAGAATGCCATTATGACCATGTTCACAACGTGTACCATCACGCACACACTCGCCTACACATCCACAAACACACACATTCCTGACGTTCCCCAGGCCAGGTATACAAAGGAGCCATTACACACACACACACATGTAATAGGTGGCATTTATCATCCCTGTTGGCAGAGGAACTGTTCGGATCACCCATGCAGGCAAACTACATTAGTGACCCCTAATTACCCATGACACATCGCTCAAGTTTACTAAGACTAGTATCACTACAGTGCAGTGTCCTTGAAACTGGCCAAACATGCTTTCCTTATCTAACTAACCTTGACCAGACATATACAATTTTGATACAAACACATGAATCTCCAAAAAAAATCCTTCTTCACAGTGAAAGAACTCTCTCATTTGAAAGTCAATAATTATATATTTTCCTGTGTGAAAGATCAAGAACATCTATTATCTAGCACATTATGTAACTTTATCAGATAACAGACCTTCTAGCTCTTCATTTGTTGAATAATTGAGGCCCCGAGATGTTTAATCATCTGTAACCATAGAGATAAAGACATTCAGTTATACATAATTTAAGATGACACAAGTATGAGATACATTTCTGATTCACAATTCCTAATATTTAGGCAACAATGGAGCAGTCAAACACCTGTCCTTTCAGATATTCGCATTTTTAAATAGTAGCCTATGTCCTCATGGAAAACTTGTTGAAGGTGGTTGCTAGGGTGTTCTGAGTGGTTGATAGGAGATTGATTACTTGCCCAAGTCTAAAGTGTCCAATAATATTCTGGTCCATCCTTAAAGATAAATCTATGGGATTTTTTTCGCTTGTTTTAATTGTGTTATGCTGAAATTGTTAGTTACTGTTCACATCTGTAGCACACACAGATTAATACTTGGGGTTTTCAAACCTTTAAGCCTAAGTGAGAAAAATAGCAATAGCTATGCTTGTCTTAGCAAGCACCACTGCAATTACGTTTTGTGAAACAACATACAAACATAAATGTAACCCCCTATTTCAGGGTTACAAGAAAGCCGTCGCTGTCTAAGGTGTGTAATTTTAACCCTCCACTGATGTTTATAAGCGTCCATGCTGTATAATCAGAGAGGATATTAAAATGTCAGTCATACTTTCATTACAAACAGAACACCTTACAGTTCCTCTAGCATCAATACAAGTGAAATGAAAAACAGACATATTTGTGCACTTGACATAATCTGAAGTGCTGTCCTCCTATGAGATCAAGTCTTTCTATAACGAGCCCCATAAAAGTGATGAGTCAGTCTCCCATCACCACGGTGATCTGTCACCATTTAAAAGCGTTGACATAATGGCCATCCCACAGCGGACAGCTCTCCCTCCACATCATCACCTTTCAGTATTGCTTGCTCAAAGTCACCACTGGGCCGCTCAGTCAAGACATTGCTTTGTGATGACGCTCGTACTAGACTAGAGGATATAACTAAATATGGATCGACTGAAGTGAACAGTATTCGTCTGTGTAAATGTGAGACTCCAAGAGACTCATAATAACAGCACAATATTGAGTTAAATGCATTAGGTGAAATTTATGAGATTTGACCGATCAGCTCTCAAGACCGGATCGATCCATTTTCTAACATGGTAACACTTTACAATAAGATCTGTTGTGTAACATCCATAAGAATACAATTACCCTGCCTCATTGTTTGATGTATTTAGCTAATATATTATGTCTAATGCCTTATTTAGTTTATTTCATAAAAGCCTTAAATGGGCAATTATGTAACTGTTACATGGGTATTGTATTTATAATTCTAATACAATTAATATAACATTCATTTGATGTCTTAGTATTCACCCAGTAGTACTGTGAGTGTTAGGCTGGAGAGCGATGCAGAGTTATACGTGTGTGAAAGTGCAGAAACGGCTAATTCAAGGTCAAAGAGTTAAGGATGAGACCGCTCTACATATCACACTACAGACGACTTATTTATGCTCAAAGTAAAGAAGAAAACATGTATTAGAGCACCTTTATAAGTAGTATGCAGGAAGCATGTTGCTGTGGATGAAAAGTGATGCCGACAAGAGGAGAGGAGATCGCCGAATGAGAAGGAGAACAAATAAAACAGGCCTTTTTAAAGGGGGCTTTCCCAGTCTGGATGACCTCATTTGGGGAGGTCACTAATTTATCTTTAAAGGCACACTATGCAGGAATCAACCCCTAGAGTCGCTGTGGAATACTTGCACTGTCGTAAATACCCCCCACACTGGTACCTGTTCAGTAGCATAGAAGCGTCGGGCATGCAACAGGCACAGATAGACTCCGAAGATATTGACCAGGTAATGTTTCACGATTTCATACAAATATTAGGCTACTGCATACTGCATAGTCTACTGAACTACTGATGATGGTAAAATGATAATAATAACTATATGTCAAGTGTTAGACTACTTTATAATAATAAAGTAGTCTACCTGCGTTTGATGGCTTATAACGTTTTTACATGATTTCTGCTAAATCACAAGCAAATAGCCTATAGTCTAGGACTACTGTATAATTTCATTTGTGTTTTTTGATTGTAATGTAAACATTACAAAATGCCAGCTGACATCAATAAAGTTAAATGTACGTCGCATTATTTCATAACATTCGCCGTTATGATGTCATTAGACATGATTATTGCAATTTATCATAATAGTTTGCAAATTGTGCTCGTTTACACTATTTACAACCTCTAGGCTTATTTGTGTCCTGATAATTATGTGAGATATTGACAACTGTTCTCATGATAATCAACAATGGATGAATGAACAGCATCGTAAACAATGACATACTACGAGCAAGCGCAACAACATAAAATATAGAACGCAAACAAGGTTACAAATAAGATATTTACTTACTAGTCCATCAACAAGATGCTGTTGCATCCAGTGCTGCTTTTTAGCTCGCGCCAACGACTAAAATGCCCGACCGAGTGGGACTCTTGTCCGGTTCCTCACGCGGTCAGATTCTCTTTTCCTTTTCCTAGTCTCTTCCGACCGCGTTTTCTTTACTTTTTCCATCTTCGACTCGAGTATCACATCTGAAATGCGCGCAAGTGTCTTCGTGCTTCATGTTGTTGTTGATGTGTGTGACGTCGTTGCCGTAAAGCATTTCGTGATTCTCGCGAGATTTGTCGGGGGCGCTCCTCTCAAACTTGCATTGCTGGTTTTTCCAGCGGCGTCCCCCCCAGGCTTTACTACCAGGATGATTCGCCCTAATATGAGTTTGTTTACCACCGAAATGACTTTGAAGCTGTTATATTAAGGTAAAATTCTTGCATAGTGTGCCTTTAAATACCTGTGACGAGACAGTGACATCAGATGCTGCTTCGTGACCACCCGAAGAGCTTCTCCGGCACCAGAACTATCGCTGATATTGCCTTGATTGAGAAACTTTTCGATATTTGAACTTTACTTAATACTTGTGTAGAGTATTTGTAGAAAACTTGTACTGCTAGAGATACTAATTGTAATAAATTGACTTTAAGTCGTTGAGCCAGAACAGACTGCGGAGAAGTCTTCTATTGTAAGTATTTTAAAGTGCTTATAATTTAGATCAGATTCGACTTACTTACCTAACCTGAAAATAATAAAAACTAAGGTAAAGGTGTTTAAATATGCACCATAAAACAGGTCTATTAGTTAACATTAAAGTATTAACTAACATGAACTAACAGCGAGAATTTTTTTTTTTTCAAAATGTAAAAATCTTTCTGTATGTTTGTTAATAAAGATGCAATTGTTCATTGTTTATGTTAGTTCACAGTCCATTAATTAACATTCGTTTTATTATTGTATGAATAAATGTATTATTGATGAAACTAAAACTAATAAATGATTAACTAAGACATAAATGTGGGAGAACAATTGTTCATTGTTCATACTCAGGTTAACAAACCAAACCTTATTGTAAAAGTTTACCTCAAACACTTTATATAAAATAGCACTAGTTTGAAAGCTGTTAATACAGCTGAAGCCATATATGTTCCTACATGCCACTGTAGGCGGTAGATGACTTTCACGGTATGATTGGTTTCTTGAAAAGTGTGATACTGTTCAAACCTATTCAGTGAGCTGAACACAGAACATTCTCTTGGACTGTGGAAGCTCTGAAAGCTCAGAGGAATTCAAGAGAAGTACCATGCAACATGAATTCTGAAGAGCTTATATTCCTGATAAGCCAATAAAAGCCAGCAAGGCCAAACCACATTAAGCGAATAAAGACATGCACTTTGATTTTGATGATGGACAGCCCAAGAGCAGTTAACTGAACGGTCCAGCCTGGGCCCAATGATC